CTTTTCTGGTACTTACTTGTGTAGGTATTTATGTAAGGACTCAATATTTACCTACATACTAAAACAAAGTAATATAACACTCGAAGAAAAACGTTATGAAGAAAAGCTAACAATTTTCGCAAGTAGTAACACATGTTTCCCATCATAAATTTCCTCTCCCAAAATTTCCTTTCTCAAAAAGTAAAACAACCGAAAAACCCATTAAACTCGTCATAGCAATAAATAAGGGCAACAAATTACACAACGAGATAAATGGGCTACTTTCCTTCCCCAAATTCTTGGCATCCTTCCAAATTTCCAAATGAGCATGAAATTTCTCCCATAAATCCCACACCACGAGGAATCCACCTTGTTCCAATGCAGCCCGAACTGATCGAATTTCTTGATTAATTTTGACATCCAGTACGTCAAAGTATGTCATCCTCAAACCCAAATTGAGGCTGGAGTAGCAGTGGTATTTTCCCTAGGACATAAATATGTTTAATGACTCATCGCCGAACTCGTCAAAATCAGCTAATTTTAATCATTTCTAGGCTTTTGGAATTTATTTTAACATTTTGGACTACAAATTTGCAGCGCAGGTTGTTGAGATTTTTTTAAGAATATACATTCCACGTTTCAACAGTTTTTGAAGGAGGAGATCTCAAATTTAAGAAACCTTCCTAAAAATTGAAATTCATCAAAACTTGCTCACCTTATTTAAAAATATTAACACAATTCTATTATTCAACTTACAGACTACAAATTTGTAGTCCAGAATTTTAAGATAACTTCCGAGAGCCGAGCAAAAATTTAAAATGTGTGGATAAATTTGGACGATTTTGGCGTTGAGTCATCAAGTCCTACCTTAAGCAACATAAATTCCGCAATACCTTGAAACCTTTCCACGTTCTCATCCACTGATAATAACGCTGACTTATTTCGCGTTATGTACGAAACAATGTCCACCGTGGAGATCAGCTTTGGAGAAATAAACGTATTGTTAAATTCCTCAGAAATATTTTCCCGACGGAAATCGTCCCATAAAATCTTCACAGTTCGATCCACTCGGCCAGTAGAATCAAGAATTAGTATAATTTTAAACCCATTCTTGACAAAGTCTCTAAAATTAGTAAGCTTCTCGTATTTCAATGGAACGGTCAAATCTGCCGTTAAAAAATATTCGTAATCGTTCAAAATAATTGTCACGGCAAACATGCTAGTCACATAAAAAAGCTTAGATTTCTTCATAACGGTTAGCGAGGGTTGTCCCAACTAAAGAATCAAGATGCCCCAACAACCCTCTGAAATTCCCGCCAGAGTGACCCCTTTAAACAAACTGGTGACAAATATGGCCGAAAATGCGATGCATATTAAAATTCCGCACCACGCATTTAAATAAAATGGCGACACCCAGACGGAAAACGAGGCGATTTCTTCCCTACTTTCGAGATTGCAGTACGTCAGGTCACAGCTGATTGTGCGAGTGTTGCTAAATTTGTTGACCTCCCATAGCGGGATCAACCCCCGGTTAATTTGAATCGCGATCAGGCCATATTTTTTACTTCGCCACGTGTCCCGCGAGTCAACTAATGAATTGTTTAAGGATCTCAGAAGCGACTCTGTGTACCTCTCAACCGCAAGACACGCAAACAATCCTCCCTTAAACAGGCTGCTGGAACAGGTCAAGTTTGCCGTGATGTAATCTTGTCCCTGATTTTGGGTTCGGAGCAAGAACGAGATTTTCGAACTCCAAAATTGTTTTAGGTTCCAAAGCGTAAATGATTTCGGATCAGTTGAGACTTCTAAAAATCTGTGGTGACAATAGGCACAAAAGTACCACAAAGTAAAAACGTAACCCTTAGAGGGAACCGTTTTAGCGGTAATGAGGTAAAAGTTTCCGGGCATTTTAAAATCGGCGGGCATCTGTTGCATAATTATGGGACTGTTTAACGCAACGTATATAGATGAAAAGTAAGCTGGGTTTAGAAACGCGTCTGATCGTGAGTATTGGTAACTGTATCGTTTATAATTGTCCGTATTTTTTGCGGCAATCATCAAATTAACGGCGCAGCGTTGTTTGGCGGAGAATTTAAAGGCAGGTAAGGATTGGACATTTGGGTCAGAATAGGTAACTGTAAAACTGAGAGAATCATGCAATTCGTCATGGATGGTGACTAGCCGTGAGAACCTATTCTCGTGGGGGGTGTGACCCAGAAGTAGAAAGTTGGTTAAATCCAGGGTTTCATGATTTGTCGTGAAACGTTTAACTTTCAGGATACAATTGAATTTAGGGGAGAGAAGGAGATTTAGCAGGAGGAGGATATTAGATGCCATTGCTTCGTAAATATTAAATTGGTTCTGTAAAATATGGTAAATTTCTTATTACGGAGTTTTTAGAGTTGAACGGCGTAAAATATGCATGTGTATCTTCTAGAAGCATGAACTGGACAGTATACATTTGTTTTCCTCAATTGTAGCTCATTTCCACTGCCTAATTTGCATAAATAACTGCCTATTTTATTTGGCGAAATTGACAAATTTTAATTGACAAATATATATGTATGTATATGTATATATATACATATTAGCGCTAGAGTCCCTACAGCCGCATTCACTTTCTCCTTTGGGGAAAGTAAACCCAGGTTTACATGGTTATTCTTGAATAATATTGTATCGATCCGTTCGTTCAAGGATTATCATCGGTATTTTTTATACAATTAAATAAATAAATATGCTCAAAGCAAGTTAAGCACATTACTATTTATCCATAGACATGCTTCTTTTACATTCATGTATGTATTAGTTTAGCCTATAGTGTGTTTTGTATGTATATCATGTACATACATACATATGTACATAGATATATACATACATTGTATTGTTTAGCCTTTTCGAATCAATGAATACAATTATAATAATATTCGGCTGCAGAATTTCTGCATGATATTTGCACCTTCAATTCTCTGCGAATACAATTCTACATATACTTGAATGAATAAAAACATTCACATTGTATTTATTTGTATTTATGATAAAAATGAGTGTACATTGTATGGGCACATTGTATTTATGATACATGTACTATACATGTATCATAAATACAATTCATATAACGCATGTATCGGTAAATGCAAATATGTATGTACGAGTGTATGTATGCCTCATGGCATCATCGTATTCATCGCTGTGTTTAATTTATGACCTTGACATTGACAGCATAAACAATCCCAATGCTTAACATGTAAATACATACAGATCTATGTATAAATATATAAATAAGCACCAAATAATCTGCAAAAAAATTCTTAAGTTTAATATCTATTTTTTTGTTTAAATTATTATTCTTTAATTTTAAATTAGCACCTACGTAAAACCTACTAATTTAGCAAATTTTGTCCGAAGTATAGAAATTCAATTCAATGAATTCATTCATTACATTTAAATTGCATCTTTCTGAGATGCATTACTTTTTCGACCACTGGTTAAAATCATAACTACTTGAGTCACGTAATTAAGCAATGCCTATTATTTAATATTTAATAAGCAAATTTTAAATTTAATATGCAAACATAAGTTCAATTAAATCTATACATTTAGTTGACAATCTATCAATAGTTAATTCCTCTAATTATGCATATAACACAGAACATTGAAATAATAATATAACAATACGAGTTAGAAATTCTGTTTTTTTGCCATCATATTTTTTACAGCTATTTTTTGTAATGCACAAGTTACTTTTTTAGTTGACTCGATCTAATAATATGGTATATGTACGATCGTGACTGCATGTTACATTCAGGGTTCGGAAAAACCCAGGGTTTTAATCAAAAAGTAACGACCCAGGGGTTTTAATGGGTTTTAATGGGTTTTTTGGGTTTTATGGGTTTTATTGGGTTTTATTAGGTTTTACATAAGTAATACATTGAACAACAATTTTCACTACTATTGCAATCCAATTTCAATTAATATGCAAATCCTACTTGTCCATGTTAGAATTTGTATCCGTTTCGAAATAGTCCTGTTTAACTGATCATAGTTTAATACTTTATGAGAATATATATTACCTTTTTCTCGAATACTTCCTCTCATCATAATGAAATCCAAGTTGTTTAAAAGTTTTTAAAATTTAATATTTCAATGCGATCTTAACGTGTATTATCAATTCTGGAAAAAATCGAGTACTTAACAACAATGAAAGTACGTATGTATTATGATCGAGAATATAATAAGTGCTTTTTACAGACACACTTCTTTTGCTCATAATAAAGTACTTCGCTGTCCATAAGTACTCGAATTTTCCAGAGGTGATAATTAAGATCACCTTGAAACATTTTAAAAAACTTTATAAATTAAAAAAATACTACAGTATTTTGTTTAATTTATTCGCTGAGATGAGAGGAAGTATTCGGGAAAAAAGTATTAATTATGACAGCAAAATGTAAATTAAATGTAATTAAATTATGTATGCTGAGCATACTATGCTCAGTTAAACATACCTCGTTCCGAAATTATTATTTTTAAATATTTTTGTCACTTGAAACTTGTAATGGCACTCGCTGATTTATTCCTGGTTTTTAAAATTTACAATATTAATCGAATAAACTGCTTAGCTGCCATGAAACAACTTCGTCTAATGTACGACAGCTGTTTTCAGATTTTAGAATATAGTTTTAAGCTGAAACACAGTTAAAACCCATTAAAACCCGAATAAAACCCATTAAAACCCAAATAAAACCCATTTAACATGGTAAAACCCAATGGGTTTTATTCGTTAACAACCCATTAAAACCCATTAAAACCCAAAAAACCCAACCCAATAAAACCCTGGGTCGGAATACCCTGGTTACATTGTCCTTGCAGTGCTATGCCACACGTGGCAAAAAACGGAGCAAGTGAGACTACTTGCTTAAACCCATATTTTCGCAACTTGCTTTTATTTGCGTCGACTCCTATAGTAGATATCTGCACATGTCTTTATATATTGTATATGGTACTAGTCAAATACATATTCGCACTGCGAATTTCGCAGTACGTTGAGAATCTCGCTCATATGTATGAGCTAGTGCAGTTATGCAGTTTACATTACAGCAAAATACATATTTTCGCGAATTTGATGGACATTAAGTAATTATAATATCTCAAATATTCTGCATATCCACCAGGTTTACAACATTAATAAACATAATTATGTACACTATTAACTAGAAGCTGTGAACGAAAGTGTCTAGTCTTGACATATGTAAATCATCGCATTTTATCGAGTGATTCTTAATATATGCAAATTCTACAATACTCACTTAAAGGTAAGTAACCCTTGTTCAACTAGGCTTGTAATATTTTAAAATTTACGACACTGTTAGAAATCTGGTATTTATTAAAGTTGCAACCGCTTGGTATTAAAATCATACCGTTCCATAGAAATTTCCTACCAAAATGGTAAAACTTTACCATGCTTAATATACTGCACTAAATATTACTACACGGTATTATGGATCAATACCAATTTGGTTGAGTCATACAAGTACGAGTTGTAATTTAATACTGGATTTCTAAGAGTATTTAAATTTCTATATTCTTGAGTTACATGTACTTACATGTGTATGTATGTATTATGTATATGTATGTATGACATTGACATATGTACACAAATAGCATAAAAATGCACAAAAGTATTTTCATACAAATTAATAAACTTTTTGAAGAAATTTATATTTCATAAGATTTAACATTGCTGCATATTTTCGTTTCAATAGTAAATCATGATTGCCTTCACAACTATTTTCTGGGTCTTCATTTCTCTCATCTTCGGTTTCATCGCGCTCATCATCTACTCTACGATCCGTCTAAAACTTACTTTCCGTTCTAAAAATGTCCTCTACCTGGCCAAAGCTCCTTTCTTCACCGTTTATTATTTGTACATCAAGAAAAAGGCGAGGTTCGAACTTGGTCAGATGAATTATGATCAAATGAAAGCGGCCAAAGTACCAGTGGCAGCCGATACCGATATGGGATCCATAAATTACACGGTGACCGACCTGGAAATATTGAAGCACATCTTTGTCAAAGATTTCGACCACTTTGTTAACCGACGAGCTTTCAAAATGCCAGATAACGACATCCTCATCAAGAAAATGCTTGTATTTCTCAAAGACGAAGAGTGGAAGGGGTTGAGGTCAAAGTTGAGTCCGACCTTCACCACGGGAAAGATTAAGCGTCTCTTTCCCCTGTTCAATGAGAGTGCAAAGAAGCTCGTGAAGTACGTGGATCAAATGATGATGGAATCGTCCCATGGCGAAATTGACCTTGGCGATGGATACTCAAAATTTACCATGGATACGATCGCGTCCGCTGTTTGTGGTAAAATTTAATGAAAGTTTTATTTTGGGGGTACTCACGACAATATGTAAGCAGCTTATTTAACAAGTTTGCGAAGTTCACAAAACTTATGTGGGGAGGGGTACGCGAAAAATGACCTCGCAGATCTCGCAAATCTACTTCGGGGGTATTTATTACGAGTTCAAATCGCAACATAATTTTGAAAACAAATTTTGGGAGTTAAGTATGTAGTTATATATAGAAATTTATTGATATATGGCCGGTGGCCCTCATCAAATACATGGAATTATTACAGAGTTAGATATGTAAATGTATAACAGAGTAGTCGGAGGATAGTGGGAAAACCTAGCTATGGTGGAGAGCTAGGAAAACCACTATCACCTCTGGGAATGTGGCCCAGAGGTCCATTCGGCTCCGACTACAGACACCCAGGCAGGACAAATGAGTGATAGGGATCATAGGCAGATCCCGAGAGATAATGGTGATATCCAAATGAGGACGGCGTCGGGAAGGCGGAAGCAAGACGAGCGAAGGTTGTTGGGCGGGGTGTCCACGGACCACGAAATACCCTAGCACCCTTTCGGGTCCGGGCTACGTGTCCCCTTCACGGTCACACAGTGTGACCAGGGCCGAACGACACTACCCACTTGCCCCTTCACCCACTCCTCACAACACAACCGGGTCATGGGACCCCCGTAGGCCCGACTACGCTGCCCACCGCCATGCACGACCCCGTCCTCACTCTTCCACCAACCACCCCCACGGTCACTACCCGGATATACCAAACAATGACCTACCTGGGGGAGTCCTCCATGGCGTAGATCCTCCCGTGCACTGGGTCCGGCGAATCCATCTTCGCCTGATGGCTCAGCTTGTCGTTGCTGGGACGGGTGTGGCAGGGGGTGTCACCAGGCACGCAGGTGGGGGTGTGAGTGGACGAGGCTCACATGGCGATAAGGCCTTGGGACACACTTTACTTGCCCTGGCACACCCGCGACCCAGATGGAAGAGGATCCAGTTGCAGAGCGAGAGAGAGATACGTGGTGCACGGTTGGATGCCAAAGAGGAACTCCGAGTTAAGTATGTATGTACTTGCTTTGCCCTGCTTGAAGATTTGTCAGTTATCAAATGAATTTTCAATCTATTTTTTTTGCTAAAGATGCTATCCCGCTTTGATAGTTTTCATGGATTTCTGCAATTTCTCGTAATGATAATACTGAGGATAAGTTTGCGAAATAATTTTGCGAAATTAAAACATGCCCCATTGCAAGGTCAATTTGTGAAAAAAATTCATGCTTATCTAGCATAAGCGAAATCTCTTAATTTTTGCAGATTTTGTATGCTGCTATGCTTAATTGTGAGATATACGAAGGTTGGCGTGAATACGCCCATCATTTTTATTGGTATTTTAGGAACGTTTTAATATTTTTTGAAATAACAGGTATGAACTCACAAGCCTTTGATCAAAAGGAACCCTCAATATTTGAACAAGTGGGAAAATCGATACAGATTACGTTCAACATGAAGACCTTGGTCAGGTTTTTAATCCTCTTCGGATTTCCAAGGTTGGCTGGAAAGTTAGGAATTACAATATTTGGATCCGTTTTGCACCAATTTTTCGACGGTGCAGTAAAATCTTCGATTAAAGAGAGGACCACAACGGGTCAGAAGGGGAACGATTTCATCCAATTGATGTTGGAAGCGAGAGAGAACAAGTTGAAGACGGAGGAGGAAGAATTGTCCAATTTTGAGAAGGACGCCATCATCACGGGCGAGGTCAAAGGTCAAATTTCCGAAATGTTGGATGACAATGGGATCGTGTCAAATTGTGTGCTATTCATCCTCGCCGGATTCGATACGACGCAGTCACTCCTACTTTTTTGTGCGTATGCGCTCGCAATTCATCCAGAAATTCAGGATAAGTTGAGGCAGGAAGTGGATACCGTTTTGGAGGAGAATGATGGCGATTTCACGTACGACTCGATACATAGAATGGCATATTTGGACATGGTTATCAATGGTGAGAATATAGATGAAAATTTAGTATCTGTATCAAATTTCATTTTTAGCCTCTAAATAAAATTGTGCAAAATTTATTCAAGCCTGACTAAAATAAAGGATAACACAACAACAATGTAAAATTTATCAAGACCGTTGGACAAATTTTACACAACCAAATTGTTGTCATGCTCTATTTCACTCAGCCTTGAGTAAATTTTACACAATTTTATTTAGAGTGTACGGAAATTAAAATTATGAAAATTTGTATTTAGAAACGCTGCGATTTTATCCACCTGCACCAATTACGGATCGAAATTGTACTCGTGACTACGTATTTCCTGGAACTGATATCACCGTTAAGAAAGGGGAGGCAGTGACAATCCACATTTATGGAATTCATCACGACGAAGAATATTATCCCGAACCTGAAAAATTCGATCCGGAACGATTCTCGCCAGAAAACAGGGGCAAAATTAATACATATGCTTTCCTTCCGTTTGGCCAGGGACCGAGGAATTGCATCGGTAATGAGACAAAATTACGTACACTCTTAGAAATCCTGTATTAAAGTAATACCAAGCTGTATTAATACATCGCCCTACAAAAGTGAGCTTGATGAGTAATACCATGCAGTAATAGCTCGGTATTAAAGTTTTATCATATCGGTAATAAATTTTTACGGACCGGTATAATTTTAATACCAAGTGGTAGCAACTTTAATACAGAGAAATCAATATCTGCGTGACTCTACCGGATTTATAAAATGTATGTACATAAGTACATATCCACTAAATCATTGTTCACCGAATATTTATTTCTACAGGAATGCGATTCGCCTTGACCGAAGTTAAACTTGCAATTGCCCAACTTGTCCATAATTTTGATATCGAGCCCTCCAGAAAAACCACGATTCCGATGGAGTATCATGATGCAGGATCTCTCAAACCTAAGAATGGCATGTGGCTGTCTCTAAAGCGAAGACCAGGGACAACTTCGGACTAATTTTATATTCATAAATACAGATCTGATTATAACGGTAAATTTATGAAAGTTTAAAATGATTACTATTCTCTTAATTATTGCCCATGTCATCCGCGTGTTTATTCTTTAAAAATTGCATTTATCTGTATACACATTATAAGTAGGTATCTAACATTGGCTGATACTTATGGCTCTCTCCTTTAGATAGGTATGTACCTTCGCCGTTGGCCCATATAGTTATAAGGGAGTAAAGGGAGATTATGATTATGATTACGGAGACGTTTTACCAGTGATAAAACCTAGTGAAAATAAATTAAAAAAACTCGTGCACCAAACATACGTGGCGTCAGTATTAAAAAATTGAACATTTGTATCATTTATTATGCTAGATTTTTTTAAATGAAAGTATTGTAGTTTTAAAGTGAAATGAAAATATCTAGTACGTGTAGGGTATGTATACTACGGTATATTTAGCAATGTAGTGGTGCGTTCTCTCAAAATACATAATTACATTGTCGCAAAGAAATTAAATGCTTACACGAAATCAAGCATAAATTCTGCTTGATTGATAAGCTCAATCCATAAATTGATAATAATGAAACGCACAAATACCATAAATCAATTAATACAATTGCTGTACCTATGTATTTTCGAGGATTTAAAATACTTCTTCAAATTCCCACCTTCACCACCTTTCTTCTCCTCTTGCTGAATGATGGGAGTTCTAAAATATGAAATTTTTTCATATGCCTAAAGAGATGGTCCCTCCGGGTGAAATATTGCTGGCAGAAGTAGCATTGAAAATATTTCTTCTCGTGCTTCCTTTCCACATGTAAATTGAGATCACCTCTGCAGACAAACGGTTTCCCACATTCCTCACAAGTGAACAAGGTCCCAGTCCATGTTTCCCTATGCGTGGCCAACTTGTGCCTCAAAAGGGAATATTTCGTCACAAATTTGACCCCTTTGCACATCTCACATTCAAAGTCGCGTCTATCCTTGAGGTCCAGATGCGTTTGCAGATGAACCCTTAGCTCCGTCGTGCTCACAAATCTGACCTCACAAATGACGCACTTGTTCGTCTTCTCCATCGTGTGAACTCTCAACTGGTGCGCGTTTCTCGCCCCAATTGATAAGTATGTTTTGGTACAAAAGAAACATTTATGAATTCTTGGAACTACCAAATTTTCATGTGTTATTAGAACATGCCGCCTCAAACTTGACTTACTGGCGAATAGTTTTGTGCAAGTTGGACATGCAAATCTGACCTTGGAATGAACCGAGGCAGCATGACGGAGGAGGTTTGACTCATGGGCAAAAAGTTTGCCGCACTGTGGACATCGAAATGGTACTTCAAAGGTGTGTTTCCTCATGTGGGAGGTGAGCGATGGTTTGGTGTGGACGATTTTAGGGCAGAAATAGCACGTATAAGGGGTTTTCTTGGTGTGGACGAGGGCCACGTGTTGGGCCACGTGTTCTTTAAGTTTGAAAAATTTTGGACAAATTGGGCACAAATGGGGTCTCGTGGTTTGGTGCGTGGCCATGTGACGGTCGAGTTTGCTCTGGAATGGGAAATGAAGAGAACAAATGGGACAAATGGCGTCGTGTAGAGGGGAAGAGATCGGTCGGTGGGGATGCATCGACGTCGACGGAGTCGTCCCATCCGGATGGGACGGAATGCCGGTGGGAGATTTAGTAACTGGTGGGAGTGGCATTTATGTGGGTTTTGTAGCTCCCGGTGGATTAAAAACCTCTGTTAAAAATATCTAAGTCAAATGTTTATATGTGGCTGTCTCCATGAAAAGGGACCTTATTCATACTTTGCTCATTTTCCACAAGCGGCAAAATACCAAAACAGAAAACTTTCAGCGAAACCCATTTCGTCAAAAAGCTGAATTGGCGAAATAAATATTACTGTTAAGCATTCCACTTCAAATTTAAAACTTAAGGTTGTACAGGTTTGCTTTACCTAATAAAATAATGAAATTTGCGCCTTGACCTTCTTGAGGACCTTAACGTGACCTGTACACTTAACCTGGGGCGATAAAACTCAAATTTAAAACGTAAGGTCATTCAGGCTTGTATTGGCCTATGCAAATCTATTATTAGCGCCATATGAGCTACAATACTAAATTTTAAAACAGTGTTCTAAATTTAATCAATACAAAAATTTTCGCCAAAAGGTCGTTTTGCCGTATTGTCGATGCAGCACTTTGAATTTAAATAACTTTACTTGTAGTTAACAGATTGAGCTAAAATAAATGGCAAATTAAAGCCTGAGGCAAGAACTTTCATAATAAATTAAAGTCGCTAAAGTAGATATTTGGTGAATAAGGTCCCTTTTCATGGAGACAGTCACATATGTGCATACATATGTATTTATTGCTGATTGTGTTCATTATTCTTTCGTATCCTTAGTATCGTAGCATTCTTTACGAAGAACAAGAGCCAGGAGTCAAGCCCCGTAAAAGTCGTAAGCTTTTTGATTTCAAAATCTTGCAGAGCTTATAAAATCTCAGTAAGTGAATTGTGACCGCCGTAACTTATTTCACGATATAAAGAATACTATGGACGGTGTCCATACCAAACCTTGAAGCCTTGGCAGCTGGATTTTTGATTTTTGAATTGCCATCCAAAATAGGTCACAAACCATGAAATTAGTGTAATTGAATAAAAGTTTTGAAAAAAACTTGCTTCAGTCCTTCGTAATGGCCATTTTTGCAATCTGGAATAGGGTTCGTAGTACGGCGATTTTTTCGTCAGTTTTTGGACTAGAAAGCTGAAATTTCGTATCCTACACCGTCTTGAGTGTCCCCCGGCGGGAATTTTTCGTTTAAGCGACCTATGAGTAATGTTGAGTTTTCGTCGGGCTTTTGCTATGTTGGCTCTCAATCTGCTCGTGTGTTAAATTTTGTATGCCAAAACTCTCAACCTTTTTTGATTTCTAACTAATCAGGGGTGGTCCCAGACCCCACAAAGTATATATATTCTGAATCCACTTGCCGAGACCTTTCTCACGATACCCCATTTATGGGGCTATGTGAGACTTTACATCATATGTATAAAACCATGGGAAAATGAGCATGTCGAAAAATGACCGGTTTTAAGGTCATTTTCGACATTGGACCTTCAAACGGAAAAGTCCCGCCTGGGGACACTCAAGACGGTGTAGGATACGAAATTTCAGCTTTCTAGTCCAAAAACTGACGAAAAAATCGCCGTACTATGAACCCTATTCCAGATCGCAAAAATGGCTATTACGAAGGACTGAAGCAAGTTTTTTTCAAAACTTTTCTTCGATTACACTAATTTCATGGTTTGTGACCTATTTTGGATGGTAATTCAAAAATCAAAAATCCAGCTGCCAAGGCTTCAAGGTTTGGTATGGACACCGTCATATGGAATACTGAACACCCCCATAATTTGTGTCTCCAATTTTTTTAAGACTCTATTCATTCATTACAAGAAAAATTTAAGAAATGCCCGTACATATTTATTATTTGTATCACTTATGTACATACCTACTTATTTCTCCCTTGTTGAAAATGGCTAATTTGAGTGCTTAACTACAAAAAATATTTATGCATTGAGATTAAGTACGTGGGACTAGGACATATTTAAGGTAAATTGCACAGACTGTGAAAATGTGAGGTTACAAACCTTTGAATACGTATTTTGTGAACGGAATGAACTAATAATAAGGGATGGTTCTCGACTGCTCCTCGTGTCCAGGGTGCTTACTTTGTTTTTAGAATCCAGTAGGACCCTAGATGAAGGATTCATTCATATTTCCATGTAAAACTTATATTCAGCGCCGTGGCGAGCGCAAACTTAAAAAATCTGCATTTTCTGGATTTTGAAAACTTAAAATGGCGACAAAAAGTCGTAATTTTAGGGGGAAATTAAAAACCATGCTTTTGTAATTTTTGAGCTATTTTGAGATTTTTTGACGATGTCTAAGAAAATTGCGAAGTTTGCAAAAAAGTAAAAACTTCTTGTTTTAAAATTTCATGAAATGCGAGAGTTGAACTATTTGTGATGATTTTAGCTCAAAAATTTAAAATAATTCTTCTTGGATTTCAAAAGTTATGGTGGTTCTTTAAATGAAGACATTCAAATTTGCGTCGCCATTTTACACAGATACACAGTTTTACACATATGAAACAATCCATCACCGAGCCCCGAGGTCCCTTGAAGATTCCCAAAAAGCATAGTGGGTACGAAAAACACAAGGAGCAGTCTTGTACCTTCCTTTGTAAGTAATTCTCCAGAAAAGCAATCCCTTTCTAATTTTAGTTAAAATTTTCCCATTGCTGAGGACGAGAACAAAGAAGAGTATTTATACCTGTAGATTTATACAGAAGAATGTCATGAAGGTGTACATGGTCGGGGCCTTTTTGACGCCTATTCCTGAAAAGTTACCTGAGAGGATGTTCATAAATTATGATACGGCTGAAGGGGTTGGGAGGGTAAACGTTTTACGTAACAGGCAGATCTGCGCTACACACATCTTAAGAGAGGATGAACATAATGCGTAACAAGGGGAGGGCGTTGGTCCGAAAAATCGCTATTTTTGCGTGACAAATGGACATTCCCTTGTAAGCATTTGTGCTGCGACATAAGTAAACATGTGTGTAGATTATGTGCAGATATGACTCTACCAAAGTGATATTGAAATTTAATATGTACGGTAGCTTAGAATTAAAGTTTTACCATATCGGCAGTAAATTCCTTCAGATTGGTATAATTTTAGTACCAAGCTGTTGCAACTTTAATACCGCAAGAAATCAATATCTACGTCCCTATAGGTAGCAAATTTCTAACAGTGCATGCCCATTTGAAAGAAAAAATTTGCCTGAATCCCAGAAAAATGCTAATGATGATCATGTTTGTCCCTTCTGGTTATGAACTATTGTTAGAGTCATTTCTAGGAACCCGATGTGCCTTAAGTCTAAAAAAGGACTCGTTGACGAGTTAAGTACGCAAAGGAATATTCACCACTCTGACTATTTGCTTTCCTGCATTTGATCGAAACACACGCCACCAGAGTACAAAACATATTAGCTGCCTCAAAAAGCAAAATTTCTTAAGTTTCTACACTGCTTAAAATGGACAAGGAGAAGGCTAGTTTGGAACGGAACGATAAGGACGAGGTCGTAATATCTTTGAACGATATTCCTGGTGAGCATTTTTTACACTCTGTCTCTAGCACGCATCGTAAACTTCAGAATGATTTCACATCACGTTTGTAACTATGTAACTGCGTTAGGTTGGTAAGTGTACACACTCTTGATGTAAGTTGACTGTTTCAGAAACTTTTTTGCTAAAAAATGCTATGAATTGCATTTGTTCAACTGATCTCAACTAATCCTAAGAACAGCAATATCAAACACTCGAATTATTTACGAACTTTTTATGTAAGAAACAAATACAGTTTGTAATTTTCGTAAAAGTTGGCAAATGTCCGTAGAAATGGGTGTAATAATTCGTAAAAAGTTGTAACTTACATACAAATCTTACATAGTTACAAACGTTGACGTTTCCATCTCGCAATCAGTTTCGATAAATTTTTACCTAAAAGTTAACTAAACAGGTTGTCGATTTTGCGTTAAGTTCATGGTAAATTTGACTTCCTGTATATATGTACACGTTAAAAATAATCTCTAAATACATAATTTACTAGGGTACTATGATGACGACGAAGAGGAAGCGGAATCTGAGAAATTTTCTGAAAAAGTGGAAAACTCTGTCCAACCGCACAGGATAAAATTAATTGAAGATTCCTTCGAAAATGGTTATTTTGCACGAAGGCATAACTTGAGTCTTGAGCAGCTGGAAATTTTGCGTACCGACTACGAAATGTATTCCAGTTCTAAACATTATCCGACTTTCGAAAAATTGCAAGAACTGGCAAAAATAACAAAGTTGGACATGCTACTAATTTTGAGGTGGATGTCCAATGAACGTTACAAACTAGAGGAGACGTGTCAGATGACGTGGCAAAATTTTGATGACACGGGGAAATACTAATATGTTATGTTGCGTGGGTATTCGCTTAGTTCATTTTAGTGAAATTTAATCTGTTCGTTTAATTTAACAATAGGATCATGTCATATCTCAACCGATTTTTTATTTGTTGATTACATTTTTGCATTAATTGAGATTAAACTAACTAGATACTTACTAGTAAGCTACATTTTATTGTATTTTTTTAGCAAAATATATATAAGAACTCGAATGTTTAAATTATGTACAACTTTTGTTATGTGCATACGTTTTAATACATACTTGCATATGTCCATAAATCAATTAATACAAAGCAGTCGCATAGTCGTCTTTGCACAAAAACTCGTTATCACCAATGGTGTCGAAATTTGAATAAAATCATTAACAAATCTGATCTTCATGGGAACCAGTGATTTCGCAATTTTTCTTAAACGGATCCTCGCCTTTGTATCGTGGAATGAAATCGTGGTCAATTTGTTAATATTTTTTATAGACGTTTTATTGACGAATCCAGCAATCGTTCCTAACCCAATGATTGCAATTTTAGATTCGATCGCAACAAATGCAAAGAAGAACTGTGTTATAAAGGTGGCTTCTTCATTATTAGGCGAAAACGTCAAACTCGTTCCGAAAACGTTGATGGCCGTGATAAAACATAATACAGCAGGTAACACGACGGGTCGGAAACATAAATTAATTTGAGAAACCAAAACTTGCAATTGCTGATATGATTGGAATATCAAGGGAGTATTTTCCAGTGATAGACACGCACTAAAGAAATTAAATTCAGTTTAAATTTACCGGGCAATTTTTTTTCCTAATTTGATTTGTGTGTAATTACCTCGCCAGACAGGACAGGTATGATATCACGCAGAAAACTGTTCCCAAAAATACGCTTCCAATTAAAAACGCCATTAACGAGGATAGTACAAAAATTAACCAAGGTTGGATCAGCAGAACAATGATCTGCGGAATATTATAGCAAGCACATTGTGGCGTAACATGTCGATCGATGATGGATCCGAGGAAGAGGGGCATGCCTGGAATGTATACGGTTAAAAGGGTACCAACATAAGGGGCCACAACTGCGAAAATGATGGTCGAAAGGAAACAAAAACGCAATCCGAGGATTGATTTTTGCATGGAATAGCCTGAAAATAAAAATATAAAAATAAAGGAAAGCACTATCAATGTTTCGACTCTTGTGAGTTTGCTGCATTTCTTGCACAGCAAAGCAAACAATTATCTTACAAGAAATACTCATCAAGTAGCTACGAATTACGGCGGCGGAAGTAGTTTGCATACTGCGTGTTACATTTCTTATAGGTCAAACTAGGTGCCAGAATCTATGTACTTCCTTGCGGTCACTTGCATCCGAAACACTGACGGCAAGTTCCGCATGTTAGCAACTCTCAGGAGGGGAGCTTCACCACCTGCCCCTCTCACATCTCGATGCCCTTTGGATATGTGGTAGGGTCCCATGAGTGTACTAAACCCCTGAAGTGGTTTGACTCCATGGCCACAGTTACGCCCGCCACACCCACTCATAGGCGCCGAAAACACGAAAAAAGCCCTGTTTTCACTTGTTCAAACCCTCGCCAAAAATCCAATTTTGCTCGGATTTTGGTAAAATTTACATTTTTGTAATCCCAGATACTTGCTTGATCATATCCAGTAGCAATCTCAACTTTTTTGAAATTTTGAATTTTTTAGAATAATTCATAATGCCCGAAAATTTCAAAAATTTCAAAAAAGTTGAGGTTGCTACTGGATATGATCAAACAAGTATCTGGGATAACAAAAATGTAAATTTTATCAAAATCCGACTAAAATTGGATTTTTGGTGGATTTTTGAAGTTGGTAACTTTTGTGGTTTTCATCCCTTTGAGTGGGTGTGGCGGGCGCAAATGTGGCCATGGAGTCAAACCACTTCAGGGTTTTAGTACACTCATGGGACCCTACCACATATCCAAAGGGCATCGAGATCTGTGAAGGGCAGGTGGTGAAGCTCTCCTCCTCAGAACTCTTATTACGTTGTGCTAAACTTTAAAAACTTGGTAAAACTTTCCACTACTGGCAACCTATGCGATGGTTATTATAAAATTTATTGGTGCCATTGGGTGGTTTAACCTCGCAATATTTATTCCACATTCGCATATATTTATTTAGGCGCATAATTTTCGCATGATTGTTCCATAAATTTTTTTCAAGTTGTACTCGCCGCTACAAATTCATAAATTTAATTAAGTATAAACCTCTGGAGTAAAGAGGAGAAACCCTCGACATTCCCGTCTCAGATCCATACATGGGCAAATTACGTTGTCCAATTACAGTAATTTGGTCTTCCTTCTTCCAGTGGTTTGGATTTTCAGGATTCTTAAGGAAGATCAAATTACTGTAATTGAACAATGTAATTTGCCCATGTATGCTCAGATCTTGATGTCTTTTGCATAATATGCATAACGATATACAAAAGGCGATCAGACATGGTTTTCACGACTTCGCGCTTGAATATCTCACGTGCAAATTCGAATTTCGAACTGATTTTGATAGACAAGGAGGATAATACTCTCAAAAAGATCTTTCTAAATTTTTAAGTCGATAGTTTCACAAATGTCCCCTCCAGAGCCCCCAGAGTTGGAAGGTGCCAAAAATACACTTTCCAAACTTAATTATTCATGTGGCATGATAACCAAAGAGGTCAGAGGTGAAAAATTATTATTATTATAACCCTAGATAATGATTGTATCTAATAATGAAAGAATCCGTAATGAATAAAATAATGTGGGCCCTCCAGCATGGCTGATACTTTTCCATGAAAAGTGGTAAATCGGGCCGTGCACCGGGAAATTGACCTCCTGACCTTGAAAATGGACCGACTGGGTGAAATTAAGATTGAGGGCAAAGCTCTAAGTGCCCTAAGTAATATTAAATTAAACAGTGAAGATTTTGGGTAAACAGTTTTGGAGAAGGACCCGAGCTAATCAGCTGACGTGGAATCCTAAAAAACTCTTGAACTTATTTAGAAAATTAATAGTCACGTTTTGTTGAAAACAAATTTTAATAACTTTTTTGTGTCCCCTGCTGCAGAACTATTTTACCTACAAGGTACAAGTGACAAAATAATAAAATTACTGCGTTTTGATTAGTTAAAAAAGTTTTAAAGTTCCGCTTCAATTTCGAGGAGAACTTTTGTAAATATTTTATAGGGTTTGATGGAAACTCATTTCCTGGGGTGTAACCACTTATCAAAATTTTATCAAAAGTACTTACAGTGCAATATACTATATGTACCTTGGATATAAACAACGTTAGGGATTTTTAGTATCAAAGTCCTAAAATGTGGGGGCCTTAAAACTCGAGGAGTTGAGTTCATGAGAGCATTCCATTAGGACAAGTATGAAGCTAGACTACAAAGGGGACTTAAAAGATAAGCATGAGACAAAAGTGGTTTTATATAGTGAAAAGCATGCTGAGTCCCTTGATAATAGTCGCAAAGACGATTTCTGCACTAGGGCCTCAGAAAAAATCTTTTGTTCAACGCCATTTTATAAGAACACTGGTTTGGAAAACTAAAAAATGACACCTCTGCAAATTTGACCTTGCCTCATGCCCCAGAGTGCACAACACCGGAAGCCAAATATGTTTACCTATAGTTCGAGACATGGGCTTTCACATAAAAAAAGTTAGAAATCTCTCCAGCCAAAAACCATCGCATAATTAAATTATGAATTTGTGCAAACCATCTCTAATCGCCTTTTGTATGCAAAGGAAAACCTTATGAGGAGTACCCTATGAGTCTACTAAAACTCTTTAGTGATTTAATTCCATGGCCCAATTTGCGCCCGCCACACCCACAAAAAGGCACCAAAAACACGAAAAGGCCAGTTTCATGTGTTTCAACTGTCGCCAAAAATCCAATTTTGCTCGGATTTTGGAAAAATTTACATTTTTGTGATCCCAGATACTTGTGTGATTATATCCCGTAGATATCTCAGCTTTTTTGAAATTTTGAATTTTTTCGAATAGTTCATCAGCATACCCTAAAATTTCGAAAATTTCAAAAAAGTTGAAATATCTACTGGATATGTATGATCATGCAAGTATCGAGGATCACAAAAAACAAAAATGTAATCAAAATACGAGCAAAAGTGGATTTTTGAAGTTGGTAATCTTTGTGCTTTTATTTCCCTGATTGGGCCTGGCGAGCTCAAATGTGGCCATGGAGTAAAGCCACTTTAGGGTTTTAGTACATTCACCTAGCGGACCCGAATATGCAAAGGGCCCTCAAGATCTGAGAAGGACATGTAGAGGGTCTTTCCTCCAATGTAGATATACCAGAAAATGAATCTCCGAATCTTTTGTCCACTCCGATCAGCATGTTCAGCAACAAGATAAAATTGTCCGTATCCTTAATCAAGGGTGCCAAAGAGACCAATGACGTTGCCAGGGAGAATGTGAACAAGAGTATTATCATCCCTTCAACTTTAGCAATTGGAGCGGTTGCAAGTATGTAAAATCCGTTTACAAGTATTGCTAGCGAAGCACCGATTACGATGCTAGGTTTAAGGTAAGACAATCCGCCAGATTTGACAAACTGACCTTGTTTGCAGTTGAGCTTAAGGAGGTTTATCCCCAAACGCGATTGATAACGAAGGTTCAAATTAAATAAAGATTGGCCAAATTGGAACAACATTTTTTGTATAATTTATACTTTTTAAGCTTAATTTTTACAAAGATGTATCTGTGTGTCTAGGTCTGTCACCGAGACACTAGTGAAATTAAGACGCAACTTATGCTTAAAATTTTGAGCAATAATTCTAATTTCTAGAACAATATTGAAATAATGGATATTATTGTTTTAAGGTTTTAATTTTACTCGTCCCATTCTCCTCGAAGCTGTTGACATTTCCAAATTCAGCAGGAAAATGGCCAATTAAGTATCTATTATTTATGTAAACATAGATAATTTCTCCGTGGGTTAATTAATGTTCAAAATATGGGCAATATGATGTTTGTTTTACTTTTAGTATGTCAACGCGTTCACATACATGGATGAATTTCAACGTTGTGCGTCACAAATTACTTGCATAATTTATACTCCCCGCATGTAAATATGTAAAGTGCATATTGTAATTCCTTGTTGAAACTATTGTACTGAATTGAATTTTACTGTATGTATGTGGAATTAGGTAAGTAAAAAAAACAGGCCAGAACCAATTTCGCACTAGTCAATTTATCAAGACATTATTCTGTCGATAAGGAGACTGAGAAAATTTCCGGAAAAGTAGAACAACTGCATCGGAAAACATATCTGATTGAGGATCACTTTGAATAATTTCGTACAAATGCATTAAGCATTTTGACGTTTTGCGTGCTCACTACGTAATAAATACATATATTCAAAACATTATCCGATTTTAGAGATATTGCATGAATTTGCGGAATAACGTTGAGCACTATGCTAATTTTGGAGTGATTTTCACCGGTAATTGCAACGTAGAGGCATGTCAGTACATCAAGTCAGCAATATTTAATATGCATACATATATTTTGTAATGGATATTATACAATGACAAATTATTTTAAATCATCATCTGAAAGTAATTCATGTAATTAATAATTTGTGGAACACGTTTAATTATAAGTAAGTCAATATATGTACCTCTTCTGTTAAACTTCAGCGATGATATTTTCCTTTAATACTAAATTCGATATTGCATATAGTTATTATTTCAGATTATTCATATTTGTAATGAATTGATCTCTGTTGACACGTGAATAAAGGCTTAACAACACCAACAACAACATTAATGATACATAGGTAGTTTAGGTTAACACAAGGGACTTGTGACAAGGCATATGTATTTGTACTTAGGAGTAGCTACATATGTATTAACACATTACTAAACAATACAATTAGCATCAAACTAGTAAATTTTGACGACCAAAGTCAATTATTTAAATATTTCAAATTCGGTTATTAATAACGTTAATATTCTTTACGAAATACGAATTTTTAAACATTAATTTCTATGGCTACTAAGGGAAGGACACAATCGCATTAATAATATAGTCCAGGGCGGACTTAAAGAATTGGATTGTCGTTGAGGTCGTGATGTAGTACAATCCTCCAATCTTAGCTTTTAACAATGGGCACGAAATAAGGATCTTTCTCAAAGCAAAGTGCCTCGTTTGAGACCATGATGTCAAAAAGGACGCTGTAATATCGTACATTCTCGCCCCCATTTGAAGTAACCCGAAGGGACAGCTCGCACAGTCTATTACGGCCAAAGGGTAGGTCAGGATCCCGGGAAGTTCGCGGACAAACTTTCCCCCACTCATGGAGCGAGTTAGGACAAATCCACATGGAATCAGGGCCGTCCAGCTGATCACTTTTACCACGGGGATTGCCATCGGGGCCATGGCGTCGTTGAACAGATTCGTTAGAACTTGGAGGGAGCGGTAGACCCGAATAGCGTTATTTGGCTGGCGAAGGTTGGTGCGGGTCATTTCTGAGTCATTGAGTTTGCTAGAAAAATATTTATTGCACGTATGACGAGAAATTATACATAAAAAGTCTATCCTTACTGCGCCTCCTGCAACCAGAATGTAACACTGTTCGCATGCGCCACCACGATCCAAGCGATCAGTAAATACAAACATAGCACTTGGCCCGCAAACACAAATTCCTAACAGTAAGAAAAGTAGCCAATTAATTATCCAACCTATAATGTATTTACGAATCGCTGTCTTCTTTTAAGCGTACGTGCAGTGCCCCCGGAATCAGCCACCACCAGCCGTGGTCTGGCGAATAAACGTAGTTATACAGGTACCATGGCGAATTTGGAAAAGTGAGAAACAAACTGATGGAAATGAAAGTTTGCGTGATGTTGGTCGGTATTGAAAGATTAAGGAGGATCTGTCCGCCTTCTTTATGTCCCTCGGCTGTGATCAAGTATGCATCTAAATGGCAATACAACGGGCAATAAATATACATTTCTGTAAATAGCTTAAAATCAATAAGGTTTTTCGTTTCGAATAATAAATGCTATGTATTTAGCGAAGTGAGAAGTTTCGCAAGTAAGTCCCTGCCCAGTTTGACATTACTTTCTGATGGGCGATTGAGATTTAATTTATTGTACAAATTTACGCAGAAAATTAAATTGTAAATTGCTTCGTTGGAACATATCCTAAACGAGTTAGTATGAAACTGATCTTTGCATATTTATACAGACCTGGACAGATTTTTTCCTGATTTTCGATTTTGTCAAAATTCCAAATGTAATAATTTTTCTTACCAACCAATTTTCCGTTTATTTCAAGCATGGCGTTAACATAGTTCCGCATGGCTTCTCCGTACCAGAACATTGTGGCGCTAAGCGAAAGGGAGTAGCAGTACCAGAGGACAGAGAAGGACGACATGAAAACAGGCCGCCAACTACCCGTCTCATCCGTCCCGCCCATCCTCGAGTAGAACGAGTGCACCTGAAACACCGCTATTCCCGCGCTCTGAACGACCGACATGTACCAAATTAGACGCCATAATTTTGTTAAAAATGGGGTGAACAGATCCACCCTATGGGTCTTGGTATTATATCGCCAAGGAAACGAGAAACTGGCAATTCCGAGCCAAATTATGTTACGAAGTCTGAAATTGAGAGTTTTGAAAGAATGCTCATACATAAATTAGTCCAAAATATAGCATTTGCAATTTTGTGCAGAGTGGAATTTGCAATTTGTTTAACATTAAAGGAATTAAGGTTGTATTAATAATAATATTTATAATTGGGGTTGTTTAACTCAGTTGTATAACTGTCTCTGTAAGTACCTTGCTATGTGATTATCGCTCAGGAGAACGGGGCGATCATGATTTTGATTAAGCGTCCCCCTGTCTGAAGTTGGTCGTTGATCGGGAGACCACTCTTCCTCGAAATCTATAAATGTGGCAGCAATCCTTGTGACCCGTGTCGAAGAAAAGTTTGGATCCCGAGTAGCCCTTGGATTCCGTCCTTGTCGGTATCCTTCCAATTCTTCTCTCCACGCCGAAATTGAGGACGCACTGTGGTTACGACCATTCACCGAGTATGGGTCAAAGTTGTCACTGGCTGGGTCATATAGTACCACTCCCGATGCAGTTACCTAGGACATGTATATTTTTTAATCATAGTGAACAATCTCAGTTACAATAAATCGAGCAAATTATATGGCAATTATTTATCGTAATTTCGAAATACACATGTGTATTTCGAAATTACGATATATGCCTACATATATAAAATCTTGCAAGGCTTGCAAAATGTCGCAACCATCGTAGCGTATTACGGAGAATACTAAGGATACGAAAGAATCATGAATACCCTCAATATTATTATTGAGAATTTTATAATTTACTTATTTATTAAGCAACATAAAAATAGCATTCTCACCTTTGCAAGATTTCGTTTCTTCTTCTTCTTTAAACCACCGGCAGCCTGCATGCTTTGTTATGTTTTCGCGTCACAAATTTTATAAATATGTAACCAAACCAGAAATAGTTTCAGGCTCAAGTTACCACGATTGCAAAGTTCGAATGTTGCTATTTGATAGTGCGAAGCACGACTGTGAGAAACGCCACGTGTGGTCAAACTAAATATGTATGCATTATATGTATTTATGTATGTATGGCAGCACTAAACTTGGCGTTTGGTTATTCTGGAATCAGGAAAATATTAATGAAGTTGTACGGCCGAAAGCTTACGCAACGAGAATTTCGTCGTTAAATTATACTATGGCATAATTAAGTCTAAACAAGGTCGAAGCCGGGGTTTGTTGGGAAGACCAGCTACAGACGTTTGTAGACAAGTTAATGAGGGTGAGATACCCGTAGCTCACAAATTTAGGTAAAACTCGATGACTCATAACTAAAATTGTCGAAATCAACGCATTTTTTTAATCATTTCTCGGCTTCGGAAATTCTTTTTAAAATTCTGGACGACGAAGTTGTTCTCGATAAGTTGATAAATAGTTTGGCGGTGAGTTTGCTAAATTAGGGTCAGCCTGTTTTGATAAGTTCCAATTTTTCTGGAGGCTATCTTAAACTTGAGATCTCCTCCTTCAAAAACCGCCAAAATCTGGACTGTATATTTTTCAAACATTGGTAACGACCTGTTCTGCAAACTCTCCGTCCAGGATTTTTGAAAAAATTCTCGAGAAACGATGAAAAATGCGTTAAGTTTGGCAATGAGTCCTATGCGTCGAGCGTCCAAGCTCTCATTCGTCATTCAAGGAAATGTTAGAGCTGTCAAATCCGAAATCCTTTTGTACACTTTAACATGTAAATCCGAAATCCGTACTGTCCGGATTTGCACGTTAAAGCATGCAAAACGGATTTCGGATTTGACAGCCCTAAATGTAGCCATGCACTTGCTATATATATATACTAACATCCAAAGACCTACAACTACCACTGATGACATATACATACGTATATATGTAGAATCTGCATTGTAGATAGGTAGAAAAGTCCCTCTTCAGTTAGCACTCTTATGAGAATAAAGAATCGTACAGGTCGACATTGGCGGCGGAAGTAGGGGGACAAGGGGACATTGTCCTCCAAGAAATTCCGGAAAACCGTATCTAGCCCATATTATTTAGTTCCTCCTCATCCCGTCCTGTAAAGCAAATGTCCCCCCAACTTCCGCCGGTATTATGGTTCGACTCCCCTTTTTAATCATGTAGAAGTATAAATTCATCAAATTTAGATAACTCTCGCTCTAACCCTTCCAACTACGACCAGACGTACGACCCAAACCATATAAATTTTAAACTAGCTCGAAGTGACAAACAATTACTTAAGACCGCGTTTAATGGTTGCTGTTGAGTCCGAGAATACATAAATATAGGCTAGAATGGCGTTAGTAGCACTGTTAATGGCAAATTTTCATACCCAATTTACGACCCAATTTCGCTAGAAATTGCTTGTCAAAAGCGTATCAATTATTTGATTGCAATTTCTTAAGTATGTAAGAGCGAAAGAAAAAATTCTTCGATGTCATATGTAACTACACTGTACTTCTTCACTATGTAGATGTTTCGCTTTCGTATATTTTTATTTTGGGTTGTCATTATGTTGGATTCCACCAAACAAACATATGTATGGAAACTATTTATATAGTATATATAGTAAATTGTTTTATCTGAGATGGTATTTAAATATTTTTTAGACAATTAATTAAACCCAAAAAGTTTGATGTGAAAACAGAGAGAAAGATATACCATATTGCATGCAGCATATTTACACGTGGATGTAAAATTGTGCCTAATTGCATTATCGCCTGGTTTTATTGCCCCATTATTCCAAGTTAGTACACATCCTAATTGTCGGTAGAAAGTCAAGTTTGTCTGCTATTTTGAACTTTAGTATGAAATAATAAGTAGTTGTACATATTTAACTTATTTACTATATACATTGTGTCATTTAAATTTCGGGTATATCTTGGGCCTTAAGGTGAAGAAAATCGTTTAACATATTTCTGAAGTATCTACATTGAGGGTATTCGTTATTTCTTTGTATTTTATATAATAAGCTGGAAATGTCTGCCGGTAACGGAAGTGAGAGCAAATGGCAAATATTCCGCAACGGAAGTAAAAGTAAAGAAAGTGAAGTTTCTAATAGAAAATTGAAAATTGAAAGAAAATTGAAAAAAATTCAGAAAAATGACTTAAGGGTCTAATGGTTGTTATCCTGGCGTGGTTAGCTTGAGACATTTAATAATGAGTCATCAGACGTTTAATTTATTTGAATTTTCGCGCCATTAATAACTACAAACTTAACTTTCTTTAGTTTCGTTTCCGTTTCGGACAGACATTTCCATCTTATAATTCTCGCTCGCCCGGCAAGCGACGGACTTATACGCTAGTCCTTAATATCGCTAAATAGTTTACGAATAAAAAACAAGAGCCCAAGCTTCGTAAAAATCGTAACTTTATATGTAGTAACGTGATTTTCGACAAGAAAATCTTATGACGCTAACAAAGTCTCACAATCGTCATAAATTGTTTTACAAATCCTAAAGATATAAAGGCATAATGAATACCTTCATAATTTTATCATACATGTGAATATTATAAAGGCTTGCATTGTTTTTGGATAATCAATACTTGCAACAAGTTTACATACTTCTCGAAAGATGGTTAGCTGACTGACGTGATGTGCATACAGGATGGGATATACCGGATGTGAAATAAATGCAACATCTTTGCTTTGTTGGACATTCTTAATTAGTCGTCATGACAACTATGGATTTATGCGCATACAAACTAATCCTAAGGTATATACATACATATGTATGCCATTAATGACGGATAAACCACGTATGTAAGAATTAATCAATCTCGCCTGCTTTACATAAATGTGCATAGTGCAGACATATATGTACATACTAGGTGGCCCACTGAAACTGTAAGTGAAATGAAACCCTGTGGCTTCAACAGTTTTTATGTTACGAATTTCGAGTTAATTTTAACCGAAAGCCAGTTAATTTCTGAGTAGAAAACAATTTTTAGTTTTCGAAATTTCCTCCCCTGCCATTAATGCAGCGCTGAGGAAACCGCCTGCAGTTCTCCGCTGAAGCACGCACTAATTCCTGGGCAAAGTGTTCCATTCCGTGGTCAAAAAATTTTTTCCGATGTCTACACTTCTACGAGGCTTAGAACACACATTTGCCCCTAACTTTGACCATTTTTCATAATCCGGAGATTCAAATCCAGAAAGTAGAATTACCATTTCCGAGAGGAGGAAAAGTTCGGAATTTTGTTTTTTACCCACGCTTGGGTCATTTTTTGCACTATAAGCTGATTCCTAGTCCTACTGCAAGGTCCAGTCGACTTCAATGAATTGGATCTCACTTAGGGGATGTACCGTGGACTCGAAAACGTATTTTAAGAAATTTGATCCCCCCACCTTCCCCCCCATTTTCAACAAAATGTAGAGAAATTGCCCCAATTAGCTCCCACCTGCCAAAATCATCACAAAGCTTGGATAATGTGGCTTTCTGACCTTTTGTCTATATTGGGGGATGTCTCTGACAGATTTGGCGTAGATAAGGCCAACTCGCTTGTTAAAATATTTTTCCTATGTGAAAATCTCCTCATCTGTAAATAGAATCCTCGTCACTTTTTCTGAGCGTACCGCTTGAAGTCACTCCTGGGTTTCTTTAATCTGGTTTCCCTTTTGGGGATGGTCGGCATGTGGCAAGTACCACATTTCAAAGTCCTAAGTCTAAGGTTCAATTTAAGCACTCATTGAATAATCTGCTTCTACACTGTCAGCTGTGAGGTTGGTTTCCGTTGGAATTTCGTGAATTTCTTCGGATTCCATCCTTCAGCGCCTTCATGATGGGTGTGGTCCTTGTAGGATTTCAAAATTTTTTTCTTCGACTGTTGTTAGTCCACCCCGTCCCCATGAACGTCTTTATAGTCTGTTGGGCTAAATTATACGGCTCGTTCGATTCCTGCCACACTTTTAAAATTCGCCATTTCTTTCCCCATTTTTGTAATGAAAAATTTTCGCCGCCCGCTTCCATTCAACATTTTCCATGCGAATTTGCATTGCAAATAGTAAAAACCTGATTTATGGTACTTATGCAAAATCGCACGGGGAATCCAATGCAATCATCAGATTTTCATTATCTCTGTCGGTTTCGAAGAAAACAGCCACTTACAGTTACAGTGGGCCCAGTATGTATATCTAGGTAGTTTAATGCACAATAATTTTACTGTTGTTTCGATTGTCGCTAAATATTTAAATACATACATACGAATGCTATTCTGTATGTATGTTACTGTCATTCAAAGCGCATGCACTAGGTAGGATTAACATGCACGCAATTAGTGAGATATTGTCTTGTTGTGGATTACGGGCTAGTAAATCTATTACATACGTCAAGCACTTCTTGGAACCCTCAAATTTCAGCGCGTATGTACATATATCTTTAGAAACACGGATACGGTAATAAGTTTGATTTCATGCGAGTTCTAAGAAACTAGAAATATGTATGTATGCATGCATCTTGGAAGAACGTAATGTCTCCTCATACTTTTGTCACATACATATAAAGCAGAGTAAATCAGCTTGAAAGTATCATTCAGAATTTTGACTTCAATTCAAAACCTGCAAACTATTCACAAAGTTCCAGTTGTGCAAGTAAGAAGAGATCAAAAATGAAAAACATTCGCTTTTTTCTACTCGTTCTATGCATTGTGGCCGCCGTAGGTGTGGTACATGTTGGTGAGAAAATTAACGCCCGATTTCAAAGACATTGAAAAATATTCAATTTTTCTAATCCCAAAAAATTTCTTAGACGCCATTAACTGCCAAGATCAAGGAGGGAATTGCAAACGTTTAAACACCGGAAGTTGTGAAAGCGAAAGAAAACATCGCGTCGGATACACCAGCGGATGTCGACAACCAGAGCTTTGTTGCGTGTAACATTTTCATGGACTAAGAAATTCTGATATTTACATTAATACGGAGTCAAAAAACGAATAGTAATTATATATGATAGACTGATTTTTCTACAAAATTTTATTGAAATTTATAAATATTTCCGCAATAAAAATTGAAATGCAAATATAACGAAAACTATTCCAAATTGATTTATTACAAATTAATCAGCGAGTGCGATCGATTTCCATAGAGAAGAATGTTAATCATTATGTAATGTATATGCACGTATCAATGGAAAATGCATAAGAGAGATATGAAACCGAACCAAATCTAATTATTTTCATCACTGCGACAACGATTTAATTGAAAATAAACAAGGCAACTTAATTTGGGGGCGTTCATAAATTATGCAACGCAAAATTCTCGAATTTCTAGACCCCTCCCCCGTCCTCCTCCTTTAACATGTGTCATAGGCACGACCCTTGGAGCCTTACACCGCCCTCCCCCTCTCTTGTTACCTAATTTATGAACGACCCCTTCGAATCATATAAGGACGACATAATAAAATAATTTTAAAAAAGCTTGCTTAGGCGAGGCGCCGCTAAAAGTGAAAAACAAGGCCTCTGGCATATCTTTTAAATATCTCGTACCTTTATCATTGTAACAGGAGTTGGTGGCTTTGTCTCACCGCGAGGCCAAACACTTTTACCGTTTACCATACCACGACGTTTATTACTTACACTTTCTGCTAAGATATTCAATTATTGCTAATTAAAATTGTATCTATATGTATAAACGCTTAAACAAACTTATTGCTTCGAAAGGGTTATAAAATTGAGTGGATTTTGTAAAATTATTATGCAGAGGACCAATATGATCAATAATATTTATTTAGCTCATAATTAAATTCGATAGTTAACCAGTAATTCAGGTAGCTAATAAAATTTGATGGATGTGCACAATTTTCAATAGGTGTTATGCAAAAAATTAAGATGCCGACGCACGAATAACAACGCGAGGGTATTTCCTAATTTTATTTACATATTAAAACAACTAGTTTTCAGTACGAACTAAAAAGTGATAAATGATAATTTTGACGTAAACCCAGATTAGTTAGGTTCTTGCGAATATATTCTTCATTACTAGAGGCTTGGCGTAAAATGTTTGGCCTCGCGGTGATGCAAAGTCACCAACTCCTGTTACAATGATAAAGGTACGAGATATTTAAAAGATATGCCAGAGGCCTTGTTTTTCACTTTTAGCGGCGCCTCGCCTAAGCAAGCTTTTTTAAAATTATTTTATTTCATGAATTTTAGGTGATGCACATTTTCAAACAATTAATTGCACCTCAAAATTGTTAAACTTTTTGAAGACCGAATGTCTTGAATCTTTTTCATTACAAAATTAGTTGAAAATATGTACAGAGGGTCGCAAGATTAATTTAAAAACGGATTAAGGATCAATAATCCAAATTTTTAAATTAATTTAGCAGAAAATAATTTTTCAGATATTAGGTTTTACGGGGATTAGTTATTTCACGAGAACAATCTGGATTAGGGAGGAAGATTATTTAATCTGGATTAGATTATAAATTACAAAATGAACTTATAAACATTTAAATCCAAAATATATGCATATAGGATGTTCAAATTTAAAATTTGTAAATTTGACAAATACTTAAATACACTTAAATACAGTACTTAAATATAAAATTATTGAAATTTGAATTTGCAAAAGAATTTGTAATTTTTTGTGCGATTGGCCAAAAATGGAAATTACAATTGACCAATTAATTTGGCAAATTGCCTAACACAACTACTTGTATTTGGAAAATTGTTATATTGATAGCTAGTAGCAACCAACTAGGAATATTGTAATTTTTGGTTAGCAACATGAATGGTTTCAGATGCTTCCATCAAAACTTTTTCAGTTTTGGACCGATCTCAGTCGGATTTGTTTTAAATGACGCACAACCGATTTCTGCATGATCAAATCAGGTTTTATGCATATAGTCCTTTGACAGAAGTGTCTCAAATTTTGATTGTAAAGTTTCAAATCCAAATTTGAGAGCGAAGAATAAAACTTTTCTATCGGGCATATTGAAAAACCACATCTCCTAATTCTCCTCTGCACGATTGCTCTTTACGCCATTTGCGTAGGATTAACCGTTTAGGCTCTAGCCTCGCTGACAGTTTCAAAGGGTGTATACGAAAGCATACCTAGGCTTCGCCGTAACCATGGTGACGCTTTTTTGCGGGCACCCATTGTTACTTTTGCCTCACCTAAGAAAAATACGTCAACATTTACGTACCTAGTAAACCCTAAATTAAAACAATTTAGTCCTTAATGCCCGAACCTTGTATCTTATCATCCTCTGCATCTACTGCCAAAGATAAAAGGGAATTCCAACATTGGAGGTGTTCAATGGTAAATATTTAATTGACGTGCACATATAGGAATATTTATGAGATAATGCTCGATTGCTCAATTAATTGGTTTTTGTGGGTACGAATGTGTGTAGGCACTCATCCATGAACATATGCAAGTGTGGCGTGTAGTAAATATTTTATACATTTTACTGATATATACTACATATATACGTAGAAATAAAAGTTTAATATATAAAATGTCGAAAACCTGGATAATCGTTTTTATTTCGCTACTTGTGTCGGCATTAACAAATGCGAAATTTATTGACCATGCAGCCGATCAAGCCGGCATAGTTATTCCAACGCCATGGCTTTGTGGCGAAGGTAAGAACTTGATACCCTTGTAAAATAAAATAAAAACTAAACCCACCCTCTGTATTTGTTACTTGAATCACTAGGAGAAATTAACAATTGTCATAAGTTAGAGCACCGTATTACATATGACACGAAATAGCATTAAACCCGAGTATTTCTAACAAATCAGCGAATCATTTCTACTATTGAAAATCATGTATTATTTTAAATTTTGTATGCGCAGAAATGGGACAATTTATCTCTCTCGAAGTGTCAAGTTGTACGACGCAACCTTGTCAACTTTCGGCAGGATCGTGGCATGAAGTATCCCCTCAATTTTCTCCAGGTAACTACTAAATATTTCATGATACGATTGGGTTTGGAAATTTTATATGTGGTATTTGTAATAATTTTGCATTAAAAAAATTATAGTCAAGAGCACGGCCAAGTTGGAGTACATCGCGAATTTCAATCCGTATGATGGCACCTCACTTCAGAGGATTTCTAACTCATCCATCCGAGGAAGTTACACGGCTGGTGGGAACTATCGAATTTTTTACCAATTTCAGATCCTGGAGTTTATGCGAGGGGTAGGAATGATAAAGAAAACTTGAATTCACAAGGGATTTATAACATCCTAAACACTTTAAAATATGTACATATGTGCAGAATATTGTATGTAATATTTACCAATGTGGGCAAAATTTTGAGGGAAAATTAGCCCGGAAATACTAGTACTGTTTACGCAGTTCTAAAAAGTACTATGATTTTTTAGAAAAATGAATTTTACTAGAAAATTGTTGATCTTATGTGCAGAATTTCTAAGGATTGCATGCATTGAACCACTCTAAATTATCTACAATTTTTAATACATAAAGAATTTCATACATGTGTTATCACTATTTTCAGAAACCTGGTCAAATTTCAGTTCTCCTTCGCGACTCGAGCGACAATACAACCTTTATACATCGATGTTTTGACGTGATTGTGTCAAGCTAGTGAGACATGTATAAATACATACATATGTAGATACATACATATGTATATTGAATCCTTCGTATACAAATTTCAAAAATCATGAGAACTACGAATCCCTTATTAATAAATTTCTCTATCTATTGAGTATTTGATGTTGTCTCGTGTTTATAATTATCTAGTCAAATCACCATGAGACCGTACACATAGTTATTAATCTAGTTACGCAGGAATTGATTTCTCGATATTAAAGATGCTACCGTTTAGTAATAAGGTTATACCGGTCTGTAAAAACTTGCCATCGGTAAGGTAAAATTTTAATACCGAGCTATTACTACACAGTATTAGTTATCAAAACTACTTTGGCAGAGTTATAAATACATGAATACCCCTTTGTATTATTTTAATACTGATTTTGAAGAGTGCATATTGCATCAAAATTAGAGAAAGGCAATTAGTGAAGTGAAGCTGCCCCCTCATTCATATTAACGGAAAATCGATAGGATATCTTTCTACGTAATGCATAAGCAATTTTATGTTTCCCAAAAGAGTTGAGAAAATCGATCACAAACTAATTGACATGAAGGTTAATTATCTTGGACGTTTCTCATTAGCGTCATCAATAGCTAACACACCCAAGGCAAATCCATCCATCATTTTATTCACATTCAATCGAAACTATTCAGTGTGGGAAAACGTTTCCAACTCAAAAAAAAAATAAAATTCTCTCTCAAAATGTCAAAAATTTGTGTAGCTAATGAAAACTTAGCTTTAATAACAAGGCACCTCGAGGTTTTCACCGAATCGGGACCCACAAACGAATTTATTGTCCAAAATTCAAGAAACATTCAATCCACGACAAGAACAGAAGCCGAACTAATTTCCACCCTGCATAACTCGATCCGTGGGAATCAATACTTTGGAAATTTCTCAATTAATATGAGCCCCCAGAAATTATCTCATAAATTCTTATCTTGCCAATATTTTTTGTGTGGCTTCCTCCTTATTATGGAACTCTTAATTATCATCGGGTACGGAACAACGGCTTTCCACGAGACGCAACAATCTCTCCAGATTCAGCGTGCAACGGAACGAATTTCGACCAATGTGACATACGCGTTGACAATTTTGTACTCCATCGGCACCAGAATTTACGGTCTTGTCCGCTGCAAGGAGACGCTGAAATGTTGGGGTGACTTTTGCTTGAAGGTGGATCAACTTAAGGATGTCGGTCAAATTTTAAGTTCTCTGCGAATCCTAGCCGTCGAGAAAAATGTGAGACGACATGTTTATCTCCTGTATGGTGCAACGCTAGGATTTGTGATATTGTTAACTACCGGCTTTACGACGGCATATTTTCCATCAAAAGAGGATATTTTGTCAGGTAAGTGAATTTGAAAAATTAAGACAAGGCTGAAATTATTTTTCAGTTTTTTTTTTAGTTTTTAGCTTTAGTTTTTTTTAGTTTTCTTAGTTTATGTCTTATGTACATTAAGGAAATGCTACTTATTTAAAATCGGTTTTATAACATAATTTTTATAAACTTCCACAAAATACAGATACAAATGTGTATCTGATCTGAGTAAGTTTGCACAAATTTATAAGCTAGATAAATAATTTTCCTTGCAAATATTTGTAAAATGTTGTAACTTACAACTTGTCAGAGTTTGTAAGCTTACAGAATTTACTGATTTTACAATATTACCAAGGCCTGCGTGAATTGCCTGATTAATCGATGAGATAAAAATTGTCTGATTTACAATTAGTCTAAAGTTGTATGTATGTATGTCTTGATTAACAGGCAAACGCACCTGGTTCAATTATGCGATCCATTTCACCGTCACGGTCGTCTTCAGCTTGGCATTTTGTGGAAATCTGATGTACATTAGTTGGATCGTATCACCGACGAAAGTGATTAACGGAATTTTTCTCGAGTTAAAAGATTCCCTCGAAAATATGGGGATTCAAAATTGTGAACAAAGGATACAAGATTGGGTGGAAAATTATAGAAAAGCCGTCCCAATTTTGAAAACATATGAAAACCATTTCGGTCCCGGTTTGATTCTCGCGGTGGCCTATACGGCGATTCAAATCACGTGCGAAACCTACTCCGTAATTTGGTTGGTTGGATTGAGAAGCTTCTTTCCGTCTGTAACCAGAATGGCAAAATTAGCCCTAAGTCTTAACGCGCTATTTGAGCTGGCAAATAATGCTGGAAAATTGGAAGGAATTCAAACTTTGTTATACCATGAACTGTGCCGAATTGAGACTTGGCTACCCGGTGGGGATTATGGGTATAAGAGGCAGGTAAATGTGAAGATAAAATTTTGAAAATTATGCTCGAATTGATAACTTCTGCTTGAATATATTTAGGAGGTGTCGGCTTTACTGAAACAGATGGTCATGGAACCACTTAAGATTACGCCTGGTAAGTAAATACGTCATACGTTTGAATATTTAGGACATAAGCTGTGCGTATCAGAGGTCACGCGGACCAATTTAGTGGCAGCGTCTATGAATTTTTCAGGGGTGTCACGGGCGTTCGAGTGTTTAAAGAATAAACAAAATAAATCTTTGTTTATTGCACAGGTGGATTTTTCACCTTAAGCAGGACTTTGATAACCTCGGTATGAACTGCAAACAATATCCTGGTATAAATATTTATTTGTCCGATGGGGGCCAGTTTTACTCTACATTTTCATATGACAGTTGGTGTCCGGTAAATTTGGTCAATATTTAAATGACTTCATTACTTAATTCAATAAATTGCATTATTTTCATAATACCAAATTTACCATAGCAATTTGACCAGACAAAAAAAAACATACAAAATCTGACCAAATTCACCAATAAATATTGAATGCATAGCGATCGTACATACATACCTATGTACATATTTGTATGTATATGCAAATACATACGCATGAATATGCATGCATAGGTATATTAATCGCTATTAATAATTTCCAGTGATTTACTTTAGCTTATTACTCTTTTCAATTTGCAGATTATATCAGCCAGCTCGACATTCGTCATTGTACTCCTACAGTTTCGTGGTGCAGAATAAACCTCAACGTTTGCAGTGATGAAGACACATGAATCGTTTACAATTTATTTCATGAAATGAATGTTACACATATCGAAGAGAGAAATAAATATATTAATTAATTGCAATGATCACAAATTCTCTGGACTACATTATATAGCGTTGAGTTTGGTAAATTTGTCTCATTCCACATAATTAAATTTGGACAATTTTTTACTTCGCATTTTCTCTCGGGTTATCCAGTGATGACCAAGCGATAAGAATAACGCCACAGAAATGTACCACTGCCGAAACGAGAGAAGACGTCCAGCCACATTTAAGGGGACCAAACAGCTCGGAATCCGACTCCGATTTCCATATCGTGTCCGGATCAACAGCGACGGCGAAGGTCGATATGACAAGACAAATCTGAAGGATGCAAAATCCTGTGGAAAACAATCGCAACTTGTCCGCCATCTGAAAATTGGAAGTATAAATATCTATTTTTTAAGTTAAGCATATGTGCGTAAGTAGAAATTTTGAAAATTGTGAAAAATGCAATACAATGAAGTATTTATGTATGTGATTTTTCATCCTTCATACTTACGTTTTTCCGGCTAAGCGAAATCAAAGTAAAAATGTAAATAATGATGAGACCAGTTTGTCCCACCGGAATTCCAATCGATCCCCAAACATTGTTCAGAAGCGTTTCATACTCGGTACAAAATTGTGGCGAAAATTCTGCTGAGGTCGATGTCGACGGCCAGGCACCTGATTTGCAGTAGAATATCCATGTAGAAATTTTATCCTTAGAGACAGAATTGAAGATTGCAGAGGTTATGCTTGCTGCCTGAAAACAGACAAAGGCAAGTTAAGATCTTCAACTTTATGAAATATGTATGTACATACGCAGTGTACAATGCACTTTCAAATTTTTTAATGTGCACATGGCTCAAAAATTCGTTTTCAAAATTTTTTTACACGTATCCTTAAAGTTTTATACGCAATAAATACAAGTCCTTGAGATACAAAAAATAAAATTGATAACTGCAAAGTTTTATCGCAAATTTTTTAGAAAACTTTTATACGTTTGGAATCGTATGTAAAACTTTCCTCAGATTGTATGAATATTGTCTCAATGCATCAGTATTACGTAAATGCTAATTAATTGTTAAAAATTGCATACTTACAATTCCACCTGCCAGAGTTGCAATGACAAGAAGTAATTTTGATCTTTCCATTTAATATCGTGATTAATTCGAACATTCGAATATTCTTAGGGAAACACATACACACACATAAGTTGCAGGAAAATTACACTCTGCTGAACGTTATGCATGTATTGCAAATACGCGTTAAACGAATTTAACGATTAATTCTATCACATGACGGAATTTTGAAACGTTCAAAAAATAGATTTTTATACGAATTTCTAAATAATTACATATGTATGTACACACAAGAGTTGTTGATGTTAGAGCACAGAACACATGTTGTGTCCTATTACGTATGTACATACATATTTACATGCACATACATACATATGCATATATCTCGCTTAACTGAGGATTAGTGGCATGTTTTTCCTCCACGTCGGATAACTTTGGCACGCAAAATGTTTACCACCCAGAACGAATTCACAACTTCGTAAGGAAATCTGCTTCTTCTTGTTAATGTAAATGTGCATGTGTCTTTATGTGCATATTTGTAAATGCATAGTTGCCATGAAGACTAATTAGTAAGGTGCAGCATAACAAAGATGATGCATTCATTTCATTTGATTACTCATCCATCCGGTGTGAATTTATGTCGCGTCAGCCAATCGTAGGAGAAGTTTGATAACGATTGTCCAAAAAATAGTCGAAGCATTCATAATATTCGTCTTTGTGACAAAATAGATTTGAAATGTTGACTCGAAAGCAGCTTACGAACTATATTTTCTACATTACAGGATATGAAACGGTAAGACCAACTAATTATAAGTTAACAATTCGCAGCTATTTAATAGTGATAAACGATTATTTAGTCAGCGAAATGGGAAATGAATATGCGCATAATCATTTTTTTTATGTAAAAATTAAAATGGACGTATTCCTTAAGCGCTATGAAACCGAATAATTACGCATAGCGTCATTTTGGCTGCATACTATTTGCAGTACTTGATTTCTGATTTTTCATAATGGACAAAAATTCATATATTTAGTACATAATGCAGTTATTTACAATGAAAACGATATTGGCTTTTTGGCTAATCTAAATATTTTAATTTATATTGGGGGTTTTCATTACGAGTTTGCAAAATCGTATCGCAACATAATCTTGGAAACAAATTGCGCACTAATGTACTACCCTTGGAGACGCGCAAGGTCGCAAATGAATTTTCGAGCCAATTTTTTTGCGAACTTCTGAACTTTGTTTTTTTACTGAGGAGAGATGCGAACTCCTAACGAATACCCCCAATTGTTTCACAGATGCGCTATGTGGTATTGACCACGTACGGAATATATGGGGACGACAGGCGTGACATTTTTGGGATTGGTAAGCAATGCTTCAATTATGAGATGATTCATACGTATCCATGTAAATTTACTATGCACCTAAAATATAAATAATCATGCAGTCTCGACATTTCAAATTATCACGGTTCTTGGAATTCTCATAAACTTGCATCTTTTCGACCAAGCGATAAGCAAAAGGGTATGATTTAAAGTTACAATTTTCAAATGAATAAATATTAAATGTATTCACGCAGGCCTGGTGTCAGAATAACTTCTATAAACTTGCAGACTTTTTCAAAATTTTACAAATATTTCTAAGGAAAATTGGCTAAGGGCTAGTGCCTCTTATTGTTTTATAAAATTGTAAAATTTGAATCTTTCAGATTCGGTCAAACTCATGTCTGGCGTGGATGCTATTTTCCTTGTTGGGACTTTATACGCGTGTTCTTGGCATGATCCGCTACAGGGGACCGTTCTCGTACGAGTCTTTCTTTAAAGGGAGTTGCATCGGGATTTGTCTGGATCTCTCATTCTTCGCCACAGTCGCCACCCTTTACTGGGACCTTGCCGAATAGTTGACACAATTTGATGAATTTGCTAAAATTCACGTATTCCTTTGCTTGTTTCAAATTTAATAAGTCTGCATAACTAGTAATCAGTAAATGAGTTGTCCAGCCAAATTTTTTTGCAAACCTGCAAATTTGTTTGCTCACGATGCTATTTAACAATGTGAACTCCGAATAAAATGGATTTTGTGGTGTCTTTTAATACAAAAAGTCTGCACTACTTTCGTCTTGATATTAAATACGTAGCTTCTCCTTTATTACATCAGCTCAACAGTGATTTTTTTAACTTTAGACCATGAAAACTGCGTCTTTCAAACATTTTCTTTCAAGCTGATACATATTAAGTATTTACAAAACGTCTCCAGAGGATCATTCTTGAATTACTCCAAGTAACTTTTAAAATTTACAATTATGATTTTAATTATCTTTAGGTGCTGGTTCCTTGTCATTATTTCTGTTCCACCACCAATTCCCGACCCCAACAACTCCCAGAACTCCTCCTACAAGGCTACCTGGCCCCAAACTGAACCATCCGAGAGTCCCTGCTGACTGGAGGTATGAAAATACCGATCCCACTCCAACCCAGGACTGCCACCCTGAAGCAATCGACGTTGCCGCGATTCCAGTGCTTTTAAATCCTACAGTGGTCAGTGTCGCTTTTGCGGCCGCATTCAATATTGCCCCGCTGGAAATTGTGGCAATTTGTCCGTTATAATTTTTTGCCTGGTCGTCTTGGCTTGTGGATGGTGAAGCGTTTTCGATCGGAGAGAGCTGAACAAACCAAAAGGATGGGCTTATTTGTAAGATCGTTAAATATGTATGTATACCTAGCTGATAATAGAGGTCTCTCAACAAATGCTGTCTAATTTTTACCAAACTATGTAGTTTCAATCGAGCTCTTAATTTAATGAATATGAAAACATTTGCGGATTTGGCGGATATATTTGCACCCTAATAAGAGGAGAAAACGGTATTTGGTAAGTGCGAAATTTGCAGATTTTACAACCCGTTGGGGCTTTCTCTTCTTTTGACACAAAAATGTATATCCGCCAAAATGAGCTCCTCTGCCAAAATGAGCTCTGCAGATCGTGCCTTTTGCAAATTTCATACTCATTAAATTTGTGATCCATTGACACTAGTTCGGTAAAACCAGGATAGCATACGTTGCGAGACCTCCATTCCGAAATGGTTACATACCAAGCGGTCCAAGTAGGGGCGTAAGGCGTCCAATTCGTCCCCATGGAACATGTTGCCTATTTCGAAAAGATTAAGCGAATCGTCGGGCATCACGTCCAATGTCAGTCTCTGAATCAGAATATATTAGGAAATATTCAATACCGGAGTGGGCAAGTTGGCTAATACGTAATTGTACCGCTACACAATCACTTCTAAAATTATTAATTAATTACCTTCTCGTCAGAAATTAAGTACTTTGTGGCGAAATCGGGGACTTCAATTTTCCTTTAGAGTTAATGTTGTTTGCAGAGGAGGGGTACAGAAATTCTTCTTTGTTCGGTTTATCTATGTATACTCTCTCATCAATTTAAAATAAAATGTTCCCTTTCTATATATTTACTCGTTTGTTGTCGATGAAAAGTATGTATGTAAAGTTTATTAAGTGTGGAGAGTTATGCTGTTTTAAAGTATTTAAAGTAAGTATTTAAAATTGAATTTCTTTTAAATATTGAGAAATTCTTGTTCCACCATAAAATACGATGTTGTTGTAGAATGAATTAAATCCAAATAAAAGTCAGATGGGAAAGTTTTGCCTCAGCGTATTGAACTTATATACTATGTATCCATAGTTTCACCTGGCCTCCAATTAACTTGCATTACGTTACTTACATACATAGACATACATTTTCCTTCAAACCCAATCTATCTCTACCTACAGTAAGCACGGAAATTGAAGGCACCTTGACGTATTTTCAATTGCGATATGATCTTGTCAACTTAGAGCTTAGAAACTTCGCACGCAGTTTTATAAATTCATAGCCGATTATTTCCACGTCGCCGATGTTTAAGGTCATCGACAGGTCAAAGGTCGTAATTTTTTTACCACTTGAAAATGAGAGGCCAAAACGAAAACTTCATGGATGAATTTTTCTGGACTTAGTAATATTTTTTACTGGCTGTGGCAATGCCTCACGAAGAAAATGAGCTATCATACAACCGTGTACGATTGTTTGTGACGCCCACGGGAATTTTTCGCCAAAAACGGTTTTGAGGGCTAAAATCGTGACCGTGGCGAAATTCAAACAATTGAAATATACAAAACCATATGTTCAATGTTTATATACGAAGTTCAGAGTTTAGAGTTTTATAATAATATACAAACATGCTAAGCGACCGTTAATAAATTATATAACGCGAGAGGAGGGGGGGAGGGGTCTTAGATTTGAGCTACAAAATGTGACGAGGGGGGAGGGGGGGGGTCAATTGCATGTGTAGTGTTTTTCGTATTCTTTTGTCAAAAAACATAGAAATTAGAAACTGATTGAAAAATATTTTATCTTCTATATGAAATCATAGAAATTTAACTGATTGCTACCAGGCACAGTTATGAAATGAATATCTTGCGTGAGAGCCTTTTGTTATGGGCGTTGGTGGGGGAAATTGTAGGCACATGCGGGGACAATAGCATTGTAGGGTAGGGTTGGGTGCATTTTATATATTTTTATTTGTCCCCCATCAGCGTAACTTTTTCCAGTAAGTTAGGACAATGTGATGCTCTGAAATGGAACAATGGATGGAAAGGTGACTCCGAGTGCAAATTTTTGCTTTATTTCGCCCATAACTCGGGTAAAAATCAAAAATTCGCCAAGTCAACTAGTACATCGTTTCTAAATCCTGTAACAATGATCTGTGCAAAATTTCATCAAAATCGGTTGAGAAATGGCCGAGAAATCGACTTATGTCACTTTTTTTGGGTGGGGTAAATGCATACTTAGTAAATTTTTTCCGTCGTTAGGTATTTGCCTCACTAAGAAAAATTATAAACTCTTTGAAATTTTTAATTTTTCAAAAAATAATGCATGTGGATTTTTTATAAGTCAAATAAGTCATTCTGCAGAGATATGTTTTCGAATTTTTTTATTCGCGCTAAAATTCGAAAATTTATGGAATTTTTAAAAAGCGAGGTTTTGGCTGAAAAACGTTTTAAAATTCGCGCCTCGCGCTCAAATTAGCGCATTATGAAAAATGAACAAATACGGGTATGCTTATTTTTTGTGGTGAACAAAATAAAATTGGTCCCAGCCAGATCTGAGTTGTACACGTAAAAAACTTGCATTGTTAGTTGTATAGAAAAAATTAACAATTAAAGAAGGCAATTTTACTAGTGAGCGAGTAGCAAGTTATGTAACTGAATATCTGAGATAAAATATAATTGCTTAACAATTGTGAATTATGTGTTTTAAAAATTCGAAAATTTTCAATTTCGATATACAAATACAATATGGAAATTAATTGGACATTTCATTGAATACTTACATATTCTGATGAAAGAACCTGACTTGTTAAGGTGGACCAAGTATTGGAAAAGATAAGTGCATCAATTTTTTCTAGCTCCCATGCCATGAAAAATGCACCGTCAAAGATTTTGTGTTAAACAATTTATTTACAAAAGATTTCCAGAGCCAGAACATGCATAAATTACGCTAGGTAATTTTTAAGCGTTACAAATTCAATTAATCCTCTTTATTTACTGTTTCCTTGTCACTGTTTCCTTGATTTCTATTCCACCACCAATAGCCGACCCCAGTACCTGCCAAGGCTCCTACGGCAAGCCCATATGGCCCCAAGATACACCCCCCGAGGGCCCCCATCGACTGGAGTGATGAAAATAAGGATCCCACACCCACATTCCCTAACGAAGACTGCCACACTGCCGCAAATGACCCTGCCGCGATCCCAGTGCTTTTAAATCCTACGGTAGCCAATGTCGCTTTCGCCGCCACATTCCCTGCCAATATAGTCCCGGTGGAAATTGTAGCAATTTTTGCGATATCAGTTTTTGTCTGGTCTTCTTTCTTTGTGGGTGGAGATGCGATTTTCAAAGGAGAAAGCTTAACAAATCAACCTTGCACTATTACTCATTTGTATAAAATCCTTAAATATTTATATTTCAATCCGTAAATAATGTATTTATGTAGTTGGAACGTACTAATCCTAAGCGGTTCATGTAGTAATTGTCAAACGACATCACGTCCAACGTCACTTTGATAACCAAAATAATTAAGTATTAAACACAGTAAGTTGATTTATTTATGTAATTAAGAATTTTATTTTACTTCTATATAACTATCTAATGGTTAATTGATAAAGATATGTAAATTACCCTCCAGTCAGAAGTTATGTATATTATATAGAAATCAGTATGGTTCCAAAGTATGTTTTTCAGCAAAGCATATGTAACCTTTCAAATATTTTACGGAGTTTTGAATGACGGCAATACACACAAAAGGATGAATTATCGGTATGTTTACGACGGAGTTAATTTACGAATAAATGCGTATCTAATCTTTACATGTCATCTGCATCCTGCGAAACCTTTATCGGTAGTTTATCTACTTTGATAACACACACGTATGGGTTTTCGTAAAATGAAACGTTTAAAAACAAAAGATTCAGTATTGCTAATTAAGATTAAGTTGTAGCTACAGTGTCCATGGCATGCAAGTACTTAAATGCATTACATTTTTGGCAGGGAGTTTAGGACATGCCATTTAAATTTCCTTGGCATGGTCATCAGTCTCAATTCGTGTACCAAAATTATTACTTTATAAAATATTTACGATACAACCACATTTTCGAATAATTTGCATCTTATTGAAAAATTTATAATCTTTAAGTCTCTCACTCTAAACTAGAACAAAAATATTTACAAGCTTAAATTAGTACAAAATCTGTAAACAAATTCATGAAATAAATGTTTTTTCAGCCAATATTTGCAGATATTGTATAAATATACATTAAATCCACTACATGTTTGCTTAAATTCGTACACATCATGTGTAAAAATAATTCACTTCTTCAAATAAAAATTAAGATAAGTACTCAAGATAAGTACGAATCTGAATTCATGTTCGATTTTAAGCCATTTTGTATGCGGAACAATTAATCACCGAATTCTGACACGATGATGGTCAGTTTTAATCAATCACAGAGATAGTCCAGCTTACAGATGAAATCCAAAAATGATGCACATTTTACGACTAATTGCAACCATCACTTCGCAATTGTTAAGGGGACCGTGCACACAAAATGTTACTAACAACAATCAGCTTTCCCATTGTATTATTAATTCGGATGGAAAAAGTTACGCATTTTGCAAAAAATCCCATCCTAAATCTTTTATAGCGAAAAAGCTGTATTTAACGTGCCTTTTGAAAAGCTCCCGACTTAATCAAAAACAACCCACTCGACTCGACTTTTAGTAAAAAGGTGTGGAAAACCCGTCTGATCTGTATAGCATATTTATGTCATCATTAATGTGGTGGTGTACGTGTAATCGATCAGTCCTGTTAATTTTTTTGACACAAACAAAAATGACACTAATCTCTGGAGCCACATCATGCGAGCGTGATCTACGTATAAATTTTGCAAATGAATACATAATAATCATGTAATCAATCTGCCCGTACAGGGACGCTGACAGGGACACAATTAAATAATGATTATCTTGTCGCGTCTTAACTACGAATTTGTTAATGCATCGAACCTTTTATAAGCTGATGCAAACCTATTGATTCGTCCAGTCGAGTAATAAGGCTACAAGATCAGAATGCAGGGAAAAGTAGCTCTTTTAATCGTGTTCGCCGTGCTAGGTGATTCTTCAGGTGAGAAATGGTGTCAATTTTAGATATGATTGTTGAATTCATAGGATTTGCAAAACATTTTGCATACAAATTTCGCCATTTTAAACTAAAAGTGTTTCACTTTCTGCACAATTTTTTGCCAACATTGCATATGCTGGCATCATTGAAATATTGAGGCAACTTATGCAGTCTTTGGTAACACTATAAAATTTGTAACCTGTAATTCTGTAAACTTGCAAACTTATACAAAATTTTAAAAATGTGTCGAACGAAAATCAACTTCCGCACATTTTTTTTAATTTGTGCAGATTAAGGTCGTATTTTTATTTTTAAAAAGCTTGCACAATAATGTTACAAAACTTCAGGATTTTACAAGTTACCAATGACTGCGTAAATGGCCTCATTAAGTTTCGACAAAGTGTACTAAATCCCGAGCTAAGAAATTGTGTTTCAAATTTCTAAACACTAAATTACAAACGAAAAGTGTCCCTTAATTTGCAGCCGCCCCACAAAAATCCGCCCCACTTGCATTTCCCGGTCTTCACGATGGAAGAATCGTCGGAGGCATTGAGGCGGATCGTCACGAATTTAAATTCCTCGTCGACATGCGCCGTGGTTCCCACTACTGCGCAGGAAGCATAATTACACCAGAATGGGTCGTAACGGCAGCTCATTGTTCTCAGAGTGCCCCCTCCGGATACACCCTAGTCGCAGGAGATCACAATATTAACCAGATCGATGGTGAAGAACAAACCAGACAAGTCGTTCAGATCATAAATCACCCAAATTATAACAGGTCCTAAAATTTCAGAGACGTCAAAATTTATATGAATTAATATTTCTCAAAATTTGAGATTTTTTAATGAAATTTTGATTTAATTTTGAACTAGACCTGGCTTCCTTCAATATGAGAATGACATCGCTTTAATGAAGGTCTCCCCACCGTTCGAATTTAACGAATTTGTCCAACCCGTTGTCCTTCCAGAGTCTGGATTCGTTCCGTCATGTACGTAATTTTTGGAAAAAAATGGGATTAGTTCAATGGGGGTATTCATTACGAGTTTGTATGTTTGAGTTTGTATGTTTGAGTTTGAGTTTGTATGAATCACAACCAAATTATAAAATACTGGCGAACCAAATGCTAATCTGGGATCGTAAATGAACCTGCAAGCCAAATTTGTTTGCAAACTGCGACCTATCTTTTTTGCTAACGATACAAACTCTTAATGAATACCCCGAATGTAAATATTTAACGGTAATCACGTCAATTTTCATTATACAGCTTTCGCCACGGTAACGGGATGGGGTGCCACGTCTGAGGGTGGTGGTTCACCTGCCAGCTTGATGAAGGTCGAGGTTCCCTACGTTAATGACACCACGTGCAACATTAATTACAGCGGAGGTATCGCCGACTCGATGGTTTGTTATGGAGAAGGTGGAAAGGACTCGTGTCAGGGAGGTGTGTAAATAAGCCAGAAAAATCAATGGCATTAATGGCATGATAAACTTCCGTATTATGAATTTAAAATGTATGTATGAAAATATTTTAGATTCTGGAGGCCCCCTTGTCTGTGGGGATGATCAGACTTTGTGCGGAGTCGTGTCTTGGGGACAAGGATGCGCCCGCCCAGGCTTCCCGGGTGTTTACACAGAAGCGTCATACTTCACGGAATGGATCCGAGGGTCCACTGTCCCCATAGATGAGGATCCAACTCCGGTGGAAACCGGTATTTACACATCTATTTTATGAAGATTTTACATATTTTAAGAGAATACTAATGACCTAAAATTTTAGTCACGACGTGCGGCGGACGGATTGAGGCGTCCTCTGCCAACATCAACTTCCAAGTGGGTGGATCCATTCGGGCTGATCAGCGATGCGTGTGGACGGTAAAGGCGCCATATGACTCGCTCCGGTTCCGACTGGCTTCTTCCGGTCTTTCCGAAGGAGATGGTATCTACCTGACGAACTTTGCAAATTCTGTGCCGGGGTCACAGCAAAGAGTGTAAGTTGCGAAAGCTCCAAATAATTTTCATAATATACACGATATTTCGGGTATAAGAACCGCTTGCAAGAAATAACCGCAATAAAGTGGTTTCTTGCATCTATTGACTGTATTGCATGGTAATTTATTTATTACAGAGTGGTAGACATTTTGTTACCAGACTGGTAATAACCCCGGTCGCGAAATTTGAAAATATTATCAGTTGATAACTAATTTTCTACCAATCAATAATAAATTAATTGCCATGCGGTAGAGTCACATAGATACTCCGCCTGGTAATAACTTAGTTACCGGGTTTCTTAGAGTGTAATAATTTGCATAATATATATAAATCTCCATTCAGCAAATATTCAATTTTTCCCTCAGCTCTAGCATTGGTCAAAACTACACCGTTTCCGCCGGCCTGGTCATCGTTACTCTTGCCGTTGGGAACGCGCCCACCCGTGGATTCAGTCTACAATTCTTTTCCAGCGGGTTCGCCGACGCGACGCCCGACTTTTCTGGATTTATGCAGACGAGCGGAGAAACTGGGAACCACACGTATCCAAATCATGGCGGTGATTATGCCAACGGCGAGAATGCCCTGTTCATCATCGCTCCAGCCACGCCGAAACAGAGATTCATATCTTTCAGAGAGTTTGACCTTGAGGGCGGGTCCGGATGCAGTTACGACGCCGTTTGCGTGTACAACTGGTACAATGGGACGTATCTTCTTGTTACAAGGTAGTCATTCGAAGCTCATGACCTTAACCGGAGGTCAAGTCAGGTTATATATTTGTGCATATGTTTTTGTATGTTTTTCATTCACAGAGCGTGTGGAACCACCTTGCCGCCAACCATCACGTTGGAGGAGGGCGTAGGTCTCGTCACTTTTACGTCCGACTCTTCCATAACAGGAAGAGGATTTTCTTTCCAGTGGATGTAAACTTAATAATGACTTGGTGAAAATATAAATTGGGAAAGCTAGTAAATAAATAAATTTTTGTAACGGTTTTGGCTTGGGTTTGAGTTTGAGAGAGGTTAATTTCTTTAATACTGATATTTACACATTTTGTACAAATTAAGAAATCCGAACTTGGAAAAGTGATTTTTGTATCTTCCAAAATTGTGACAAAAATTAAAGCCCGATGTATATGGGACGTTCGTAAACTTCATAACGCACATTTTTTGATTTTTTGACAACCACCCACCTGCTTTTAGCATGTGTCACATAAGCCTGATATCATTGGACTTGGCCACCCCTCTTTGCGTTAAGAAGTTTACGAACGTTCCAATACATTGAAACCATTACTTGCTTAAATTCGTAAATACCCATTACATATATACAAATAATTTAGACCTTGAAATAAAAATCAAGATATGTATATATGAATCTGACTTCACGTTCAAAAGCCATCCATCGATTTTGCATGAGGAAAAAACAATTAATTACATAAGTACCCCATGCTGACACATGTGGTCTATTCTATTTTTCTTAGTGAGGAAAATACCTAACAACGAAAAAATTACTAACAATAAGTATGCAGTTAATATTAGTAAAAAGTGAAATATTACGATATCTCAGCCATTTCTCAACCGTTTTGGATGAAATGTTGCACAGATCATTTTGAGCCAATTTAAAAAAGTTTATCGATTCGACTTAGCGAATTTTTGATTTTTAGCCGACTTATTAACAAAAATTTACCCTTAGAAACACATTTATATTTATAGTTAATTACTGGCATATCTCAGCGAGAAGTGAATTGTACAAATTTTAGAGTACATTTTTGTGCAAATTTTAGGGGTAGAAGGGACCAAATCGGTTGATAAATGACAGTTTTTCCTATGAGAGGTGCAAAAAATGGATGCAATTTATAAAATAGAACCACCATTGACAACAAAGCATCTAAGAAACTACTAATTACAAGTACTAAATAAGCAAGGTCCCAAAAAGATGGAAATCTTAGTGAGGCTCGGTGCAACTACAAATATTAAATCAATTTTCCGGAACAGAATTTGCATCACCACTTTGCAAACTTTCTATTCTGAGATTTAGTTTTATAAAATTAATCAGAATAATTCGAAGGGACAAGAAAAGAGAGCCATACAGTTCGTTGCAGAGGTCAACGCCGACGGTTTACGCGGCGGCGGCGGCGTGAAAATGTATATTGGTCGGCGGCGGCGGCGCGCCGCGGCGCGGTGATCAAATATCTTCGTCGGCGCCTACATAAATTACTAAACGTATATATACGCTAAACAGGAATGATCTGAAACACGCTAAATTAGCATTGCCAGTAATCTAAAACTTGCAATATTTCTAGGAGAATGTATCTTTTCATTAACTGTTTCTTCATGTACTTTAGACAAGTTTTAGAGAAAAATTGAACATGTTATATTTGACGGTCAAATTTTGACCATTTTAGGGATTGACTGTTAGTCGAACAGTAAGAGTTGGCCAAGTAAAATTTTCTGGCCACCCACGAAACTAAACAGACTTGGTTCTCTTTTACCAAGTGCCCAAATATCTTTATGGAGAAGGGAAAGGAAATAAGTAAAGCTAGCCCAGTACAGGAAAAAAAGGTGGAGCGCAACCTTTTAATAGTTGAGCATGGAGAGTAGTGCCACTCCTATTTATGTGGATGTTAGCAAATGGTGATGCTCAATTGTGATAACAAACATGCCAAGATGGCAAGTATGCCAAGTATGTAGGCATATGCAAAATAATTCTGGGTGAAGAATAATATACACATTTTAGTTTTTTTGCTAGAAAAAAAGAAAATAAAATTCAATTTTCTGGGTGAAGAATAATTAACACATTTTAGTTGATTCAAGATTCAAGATTCAACTGCTGACACCCACAATGCCAGCGCTCTCCCCGACATATTTCCATATTCAAAGTACGGGAAAATATGTTCCAAAAATTCACCAGGGGGATGACTAAAAAAAGATTTGTCTAGGCAGGCTGAAAAGGCCTCCACAATGAAAGGAACAAACGAAAGCGAAGCCAAGCGAGTGAGATTAATAGGATTATAAAAACTTCTATTCAGGTGTCGCGGTTCAAAATAATCAGTCCATATTCGTCGCTTATAGCATCAACAGTATTGACTTTCTGGCGATAATGCCAATGAAGGAACTCCTGACGAAAGCGTACTAAAATAACAACTGTGAGAATTGCATGATTCTTTCTAATTTGTACCAGTAAAGCCGGATTTACATGCATTTTAGCGTCGTCATTTCTATCTACGGCTAAGGAGCCCCAAGTTGAAAATAAGAAAGGATGAGATGGGAAATTTGGCTCCAAGAATTTAGAAAAAAAAAGATTTTTTGAGTTTCACGAACATTTGTTTCCAAGAAATGAGACGGAACGGGGTTTCGAGGTTGAAAATGTCCAGTATTTTTTATGAGAAAAGGTAGCTAAAATAAGTAAACGTTTGTTTCCAAGAAATGAGATTTGAGGACAATAAGAGCAGTAAATTTTGTCAGACGAGAAAACATTTGGATCCAAGAATTGAGAAAAAAAGGATTTTTGAGTTTTATGAATATTTGTTTCCCAGAAATGAGACGGGACGGGGTTTCGAGGTTTAAAGTGTCCAGTATTTTTTAAGAAAACGTTAAAAACGCTAAAAACAAGAAAACGTTCGCTCTAAATAATTTAGAAGAAATTAATGTCCAGTAATTTTTCCACAGAACGTTTCATCCACATAGAGAAGGGTAAAGGACTTACAAGGGACACTCACGACCTGTCGTTTGAGTCCGGGGTACCCACTATGTTTTTTAGAATCTACTAGGGCCCCAGATCAAGGATTCATTCTTATTTCCGTGTAAAACTCATAATTGGCCCAATGGCGTGGCGCCAAACTTAAAAATTTGCATTTTCGACCAATTTCAAACCCCCATAACTTTTGCAGTTTATATCGGATTTTCAAAATTTTATGCTTAAAATGATCACAAAAGTCCAAAATTTTGAGAAAAAAATAAAAATAAAAATATTTTAATTTTTGAAATATTTTTAGCATTTTTTCGACGAACCCCCATTTTTAAGAAAATTACGAAATTTTGCGAAAAGTTTAAAGCAATAATTTTGGAAAAAATTTCATGGGATATCAAAGTTGAACTCCTTGTCATGATTTTTGCCAAATATTTTGAAAATCGGTCCAAGATTTCAAAAGTTGTGGCGGTTTCAAAAATAAAAACATTCAAATTTGCGCCATTCATTCAAACGCCACGGCACGACGCCAAATTTGAGTTTTACACGGAAATATGAATGAATCCTTCATCAGGGGTCCTAGTAGATTCTAAAAAACATAGTGGGTACCCTGGACTCAAACGAGAGGTCGTGAGTGTCCCTTGTTAGTAAAACGAGGGTCGTCGTACAAACTTGCAGTAAAATGCGAATTTCAAGTTTTATGATTCACACAAGTGGTGTCTACCTTAGCTTATTATGTAGCGAAGCAAATTCTAGTTCACTTCGCATAATTAAACAAAATATTAAAAATAATCATATTGAACAATGGTTCACAGCCAGGAAGAAGTTATATTACCTCATAACTGCGTAAAATTTGTGATGTGTGTATGCACAGTGCAATTTGCGATATATGCTCCGAGCATCGTTGCCCAAGTGTGTGATAACTTGTTGGCGAATTAGTAAGTGATTAAAAATGTGATTACTGTCAGGAAAGTCATAATATTGATGTTCATGTGCAAAAGTTGGACAAGTTATGGAAGTTGATTATTCGCAAAATGACGGACCAATTGCCGGAACCAGCAAGTAAGTCAAGTTTCTGGGAAAGTTGAGATTACCAATTGCATTAGTAGTATCCAAAGGGTAGTTATGGGAGTAATAATAACCTTGTTTTGGCCCATAAGAAAATACATTGCATTGGGAGGAACCAATGGCTATCTCACCACGTTATGGGAGTAATAATATTCTTCTTTTGACCCACAGGAGAATGCATTGACCTCCATGGGGAGCGTTAAGTCCTATCTTACCATTTTACGGGAGGAATCATAGCCATAATTACTACTGACATGAACGCCCTCGTCATCATGCTTTTGACACTAGCATTCGTGACATGTCTTATTTCTGCATCCGCCCCACTTCCGAGGTTGAACTTTTGTAACTCAATCCAACCTGTTACTGTGGCTGGTCAACGATATGCAAACCACACTCTGTCAAGAACCAAAAGGGATGCTAACCTGGAGGTTGATGTTGACGAGTTTGATGTTGGAAGCTTCGAGAATCTGAAACTTAATCAGGTAATCTTTTGGAAAGAAAAATTCCTGTCGGAACTAAATACCATAAAAGCCCACATGAACCAATCTCGGAGTATACTCTACTTGAACTACTAAGGAGGAGAACCTCACTAGTTGCCACCCATAGATCTCGATGCCCTTTGGATATGTTGGAGCACCCCATGAGTGAACAACAACCCCCAAGTGGTTTGATGCCATGGCCACATTTGCGCCCGCCACACCCACTTAAAGGCGTCAAAAACACGAAAAAAGCCCTGTTTTCACTCAATAAAACCCTCGCCAAAAATCCAATTTCTATAGAATTTTGAAAATATTGCACCACTATACTCCCAGATAGTTGTGTTATCATATCCAATATCAAACTCAACTTTTTTGAAATTTCAATTTTTTCGAAGACGTACCCCTGGTCAGGAAATTTTCGAAAAAATTCAAAAAATTTAAAAAATATATTTTGGTGTCGGATATTATAAAACAACTATCTGGGAGTATAATGGTGCAAAATTTTGAAATTGCGGCCAAATTTGAATTTTTGGCGAGCGTTTGAAGATGGCGATTTTCGTGTTTTTGACGCCTTTAAGTGGGTGTGGCGGGCGCAAATGTGGCCATGGCATCAAACCACTTGGGGGTTGTTGTTCACTCATGGGGTGCTCCAACATATCCAAAGAGCATCGAGATCTGTGGGTGGCAACTAGTGAGGTATTCCTCCTAAGTACAGTTGTCGGCATATGTTCCTATAAACAAATCATATGTATCAAGAGTGTTTAG